AGCGTAGTATTTGACAGCACAGCTTCCTTCGTTTAACAGCTTGACAGATAATGACAAGAAAGACTAAATTGGTTGAGCTTACGAATGGATACTTAGTTTGTAGCTAGGTAGCTATGCAGCTAGGTACTGTACGTACCTAGCTACCTAGGGTGGAGGTGGCTAGGTAAATGCTAAGTAATACATACACATCAGTCAGTACGTACTATGGAGTATATAGGGTAGTATTGAATGTCTTATCCAGTTATTCGGAAATACCTAATGCTTAATGGGGTTTATGGTATGGTATGGTATTACAGAGTAGACAGAGTTATATTGGAGATATGCTTTGGGAATGGGTTATAGGTTTCATGTGATGGATGATCTTTTGCTGGGGATTTGGTGGATGTGCTAGGTAGGTAGGTAGGTAGTATGGCTTGGGTTGGGGGTTTGGAGGGAGGGAGGGAGGGAGGGAGGGAGGGAGGATGGCTGGATGTTTGATGGATGTCTGTGTTCATGTTGGCTGTAGCTTGGTAGGCTTGGTAACTACTAGCTACCGTTTAATGGTAGTTGAGTCTCGTGGTCATGGTGATGATTTGGTTGAGATTGTGGTCACTGGGTTAAGATACTGGGTTAAGATACTGGGTTAAGATACTGGGTTAATGTACTGGTTTAAAGGTATCGGGTCAACAGCACTGGGTTAATAGGTACCGAGTTAACAGATACACGATACACCAATACCGAGTGATGATGGTTCATTGAGATTGTTGATTCAGTCAATACCTATGTACCTACCTAGTAATAATGGTAATGGTTCATTAAGATTGATACTCCAGATCAAGTCACGATACGCGAAAATGATAAAGATGATGAAAATAGCGAGAATAGCGACGATGAATATCTTTATTCTTCATATCATGGCCGAGAAGTGAGATGGATTTTCATCTGTTTGTTTTTGTGTTTGTTTTCTATTGAGTTACTGTATCTACTGTATTTCTTCATCAACCTCTCTCTCGCATTTTCTTTCTCTCTCCTTTCCCTTCACCCGTCAACTCTTCCTAACTCCGTCTCCGAATCTTACATACAATTGATTCATAATCTTCAATGCCTAGATATGTATAATCAATTTAAGCATCATCAGGATTCAACAAGTATCTTGGCAATTGAATTTGTATTTGGCATGGCAAGAGGGAATAGGGAATTCGCATTTCAATTAAACCCGACGACATTTGCAGAATAAAAAGGACAAGAAAAATTAAGAAAAATAAGAAATCTTCCCCTGGTCCTTGATACGAACGACAACATCAAAAGGAAAAAGGTAAGTCTTCCCCTTGTTCTTGGTACGAACAGTAATCTGGGCATCAATTTGGTTTTCTATTTCTATTTCGAGGTTGGTCAGGTCAGGTCTAGGTAGGTACTGTAATTCTGTCTGTAACCCTTCAGCCTCTTTTTTCCTTTTCCTTTTTCATAGCCTTGCTGGATTTTATGAGGGTTTGATTGGTTGGGATTGGTTTTAGATGGTATTCAAATCAAACATTTTTTATGTATGTTTACTTTATATACCTACCTAGGTAGATATTTACACATTTACATATTTACACAATTATCACACATTTATTCACATCTATTATACATCTACATTTACACATCTTTCGTCCCAAATCCAAAACACCAAACACCAAACACCAAACACAAACTATAACCACCACACAAACAAACGTCGATCAAACCGTTCAATCCCTCCCTCTCTCTCTCTTATCCCTTGTCAATTCAATTGAGCGATTTACAAGCAAAGCAACACAAACACGAGAAATACACATTTTGCTTACATCTATTCCACGAAACTTTATCGGACTATTCGGACGAAGAGAGAAGAAGAAGGAAAAGAAGGAAAAAGAAGAATCCGACAGGTCAAATCAATATATCTGAATAGGCATCTATCTATCTGGTATAAGGTTACCCTTAAAACAAGTACAGTCAGTCAGTACGTACCGTACGATACGAACCGACGAGGGGTAACATTTCAATATCCCCACAATTACCGGTGTCACCGATAAAATCAAAAGGAAAGGCGAAAAAAAAGAAAAAAAGAATATCATATCAATTCTAGATCAATTAGTCAACCTCAGTCATCAATCAATACTCAGTCTGATATTCAGTTACTCAGTTATTCAGTCAATACTCTATTTAGTCACTACTCAGTCAATACCCCTCAATCAATCAATACTCGGTCAATACCCCTCAATCAATCAATACTCAAAAAATGCTTTCCGAACAATTCATCTCTTCAATTCGTGCTCAGCCTAGAACGGCGAATACTGCCATTTCAAAAGATATCGGCATTTACCTTCACACTCTACATCCTTCCCCAAAAATCGAATCACATTTCAAGAAATCTTCTACCTCAGTCAATTCCCTGGCGGCAAATTCATCTCATATTTTCGCGGCACAAGCTGATAAGGCGGTTATTCATGTTTATTCCAGGCAAAATGGAAATCAAGAAGCTTTAATTTCATTTCCCGAAAGGTTACACTCCTTAACTTTGGTCGGCGATGGTTTGGTAGTATTGGGTACAAGCGAGGGTCGGGTCATACTATGGGAGGTACGTTCTTGGGGATCCTTTCGCAATATCTGCAGCTTACGGTCGTGTTGTGCCGTCGTATGGCGACTTGAAGGCGACTTTATGGCGACATGATGGCGAATTCATGGCGTTTATGGAGTTGATGGCCTTTATGGACTTGATGCACTGCTAACTCTTTCCCGGTCTAGATCTTTACCGGTAGACAAGTTTCAACATCAGCTGCACATTTACAACCAATCTCTTGTATCGCGGCCACTTCAACTCATATGGTGACGGGTTCCGAAGATTCAAATCTCCACGTTTGGTCCATCTCACAACTTTTATCATTACATTCAAATACGAGTGAACCACATGAACCAATTCGATCCTTGTCAAATCATCGAGCCGCAATCACTTCCGTCATCATGGGTCATGGTTCCAGTACTTCAAATATTTGCATCTCAGCAAGTAAGGATAATTCAATTATTGTTTGGAATTATCACACGGGTGATCTTCTAAGAACATTCTTACTCTCATCTACACCATTATGCATGGCACTGGACCCATGCGATAGAGCCGTCTATACGGGCTTCGAGGACGGTTCATTACAAATGATTGAACTCATTCAACCAAATTCATCAATCAATCCATTATTTGATACTCGACTACAGAATACCCCAGTTCAGGTTACTTCATCTATTTGGTCCCCGCCATCGGATATTGGCACTGTACATTGTTTAGGGCTGAGTTATGATGGAACAAGTTTATTTTCGGGACATTCTTCTGGAAAGATCTCACACTGGGATACGGGTAGACGTGCTTTCTTGGTAGAACTTTCCGATTTGAATGCTCCTGTAACAAACCTTGTTATGCAATCTCCTTTTCCAAAGACGTCAAAAATCAAATCAATAAATGTGGTTAAGCCTAAATTGGCAGAGGGTAATTATACATTTACAGCTCAATTGATTGGTAATAAGGGATCTTCAATCTTTGATCAAGCTTTGGAATATCAAGGATTTCCCCAGGGTATGATTGAGAAGGCATTATTAAATCTTTCTGAACCTCAAGTTACAACCACATCATCTTCATCATCTTCATCCTCTAGCGAGGAAGAAAAGTTACGAAAAGAAAATTCGGAATTATGGAAGGTTATCAATGAGCAACGTGCTCTTCAAAAGAAAACCTTTGAAAAGTATTCCGAGTTAAAGACTGGTGGTGTTTGAATAATGATGTTAGGAGCTAAGGGAGATTTTGAGGTGCTATAGGAAATATCGAGAAGCCAGAACCGAAGCCGGACTCAAAGCTTGTTATTAGTTCAAACTTCATTACTTGGTGGGAAAAAGTATGTTGTTACAAGCTTTAATATTCATTGTCCTCAACTTACCACATCAGCTTTTATTGGAGAAATGGATAGAAGATACTTGAGGACATTTTACTTCCTCAATTCTTTTCATCTGTTGTCTTCATCGATGGAGAGCCCTTGATCTGATAATTTTAGATTCTTACAAGCAGGTTTTGATCTTGAACTAGAAAGATACTCTCATTCTCATCCAAAACTTTCAAGTCCTTGGATGTGGGGTATTTTGTAGGGTGGACATCTGAAGGATAGTCTTCAAGAGGGGATTGGAAGCCTTCATGTCTGGACCCTTAATGATTGCAAAGATCTTAACCAAATAGTCATGAGCCCTTGAATTATTAGGTTTTGTCATGATTTCACTGGTGACGATTTTGTCAAAACCTCAAGTCGCTGGGTGTATGATCGGGAGAGTGGCCTTGTACCATGAAGCTTTGCAAGGTGTGATGGTATGAAGTATACAAGAGCTTAATCTCTTACGTTGTATTTATGATGGAATGATGTACTCATGACTTCTCATGTAATTCCTCCATAGTTCAATAATAGTCAATACAAATACCACCTAGCTCCAAATCAATTATATATCTTGAATGTGATGGATATCAGATGTAGTTGTGATCACTCTTTCTTTTTCTTTTTCCTTTTGGTTTTCTTCTTAGTTTCTAATGTTGTTTTTTTTGGTAAGATACTCCAACTCGTGCTTAGTATTAAGGTGGTGAGTAATGTGGTGGTTGAAATATGAATATGAATATGAATATGAAAATGGGATAATTTTTTCTTCTTTTCTTCTTTTCTGGTAATCGCTAATTAATGTCTCTACTATTCCTCCCCCCAACCCGGCCTACTGTATTAAATAATGATTTTAGTTTTGGTTTTGGTTTTGGTTTTTGTATTGATGGTTTTCATTTGATTTGGAATGGTGGATGGATGATGGATTTTTAATATGTATGTGGTGTGGTAAGGTAGGAAGTAGAGGTTGGTAGTGGTAGTGGTGGGGATTAGAGGTTGGAGGTTAAAGGAAAGAAAGAAGATGGTGATGGATGTGAGGAATAGAGAGGTGGGAAGTGGGAAGAGGGAGGGAGGAATGGAGAGAGAAGAACTTGAAGGAAGAATAGTTTTATTTAGTTTTAGGTAGAGGTAGAGGTAGAGGTAGAGGTAGAGGTAGAGGTAGAGGTAGATGTAGATGTAGATGTAGATGTAGATATTATATTTGAGTTTATTTATTTTATTATTGGATTAGGTGTAGTTGGTTAGTTCCTGAATTGTTGGTGCTGGTATTGGTATTGATGCTGGTATAAAAGCTCTAGATTCTAAATTCTAGATTTGGATGATTTAGTTTGTTCCGCTGGGTGGGTAATTGAGTGCTTGAAAGATTGATTAGTGATGGTTTTGAGATCTGGACTGGGATTTGGAATAGTTATTTAGTAGGTGGTGGGATAATTATATCAATCAATACTTAAATATCTGTTATTGGGTAATTTTTTTATTTATTTTATATATTTTATTTCGTTTTCAATTTTTATTCTTGCTCTCTGACTCTTTGTCTGTTTGTTTCTTTTTGTTTTTTTGTGATTTAATCTCACTCTTAGTTTTTTTTTATTTTTTTATTTATTTTTTTAAATAATTAAAAAAGAGAATACTATATTCTGATATTAAGAGTGAGTGAGTATAGTACAATTAAATATTTTTATTTTAAATAAATTAGAGATTATATCAATATTCTTTTTTATTTTATCATTAGAGATATCTTTAAGTAGTAGATATATAGATAAAATTATAGTTTCTCTTTTTAGACTGAAGTACAATATTTGATAAATAATATAAGATTATATACTTACAGGAAAAAAGCTATATTCTTTCTGAGCTGAAGATATGTATGTAGATCAACTACACTACACATAGGTATGCAATACCAATCTATTTCTAAATAAAAAGAAGGCCACAGGCTCGTAGAAAAAGAAATAAAAAGAAACTAAAACAAGAAGAGAAGAGAAGTTCCCAGAGCTTATGCGTCTCCGGATCCCAAAACCATCATTTAACCCCATCCCCTTAGTCCAGCTAAGCCCTCAACCTCCTTCTACCTCCAAACCCACCACTCATCTATCCATCCATGCATCTAACATCTCACAGCCCAACTAATCACCCCCACAAACTCCATCCACAGCCCTACTAACCGCCCCCACAAACTCCATCCACAACCCACCTACCCCCTCATACCCCCCCGTCGTAACAAAAACCTCCCTAACCCCCTTCCCCACAATCTGCCCCACAACCTCCTCCTGCCTCTCCACCGACCCATCAAACCCATACAAAATAACTGAACTCTTCTCTTCCTGCTCCATCTCCACAACTTTCTCCAACGAATCCCCTTCTCCTCCTTTTCTATTACTATCAGATGAATACGCTGAATAAGATGTTTCTATCATGATGATGGTATCTGCTATGGTGAAGAATTCTGCAGAGACTGGAGTACCCGGGTTGAATGTTACGGTAAGGTTGTGTGCGTGCGCGGTTGTGGCGATGATGGTCATGTAGGTGGAGGATTGGGGTGTCCAGGTGCTGATGGCGTCGTCGAAGAAGATTCCGTCGAGGGAGATGTTGTGGGTTGGGTTTGTGGACCAGTATTTATCTAGTTGTCTCTCTTTCAGTATTTCTTGTATGCAAACTTGCTTAGAAATCCATCATAAGTAAAAAACTCAACTCACACGTCTCAACCTCCAACTCTACATCCTCCGTACTCTTAGCCATATATTTCGTATCCACATATCCCAATAACTTGACATTATCATATTGTGTTAAATTTGTGATGCCGGAGATATAGTCGGTTTCGGGATATTGATGTAGGGCTCCAGGACCGGAACTCGGATTGATGATTATGGTAAAGGGGAGGGTGGGGTAGGATTTTAGGGCTTCGGTGACCCAGTTCCAGGCTCCTGGCGTGGGATAGAGGTAGAGGGGGAGGAGGATGGAGGTTGGGAGGACCATGGTTGGGTATTTGGGGAGGGTGGGAGAGGAGAGAAGGAGGAGGGAATTGTGGGAATGGATGTATGGATGTTTGTATGGATGTATGAATGAATGTATGTACAATAAGAGTATCCAGACTCTAGAAGAATATTGAAAGAATGTAAGAATGAAGTATCAAAGTATCAAAGGAGCGAAAGTTTTGAATTCGATAAAGTAGAGAGCGACTAAGAGAGAGAGAGAGAGAGAGAGAGTAAAGACTTTATCGTCAAAAAGATAAAGTAATCTTAGGTATTAGTATAAAACTAAAAGGAAGTGACTCTAATATATGAATAGGTATATGAATAGGTATATTATGTGAGATTTAATAAAGTACTACGTACCTAGATAGTTGTGGGTCATGCAAATCTCCTTAATTTAGTAATTTTTGAAATGCGGGGGAGGGGTGGGCTGATTTGATTGATTGATTGTTTGATTGAATTCACATATAGGTAACCTACCTTAGTTTTTGAAAAAAATAAAAATCAACAACTTCAAGTTACCAAACGCGCGCAAATCATTCATTCAAATCATATATTAGTAGGTATTTAACCACTAGATTAGGCATCCTTAGCATTGAGTGGATCAAAGGATTATTACACTAAGTAAGCCAAAAAGATTAAAGTTTAGGAAACAGATAAGGTTAAAGTTATGATATGATGTGATTCCTTCTAGTAAAGTTATGAATGTTTCAAGTTTCCAAACGAGGCGCTTCAGGAACTCCAATCATATCATAATGTGGTGTGTGTGAAATATTCTTGGCGAGTTGGAGTGCATCCTATACTTTTTTGTGTGGTATGATAAGATCTTATGTATGACTAAAAGGGATAATTGCATGGTATTGATTAGATGTTAATGAAGGATTTTAGATGCGATGAAACGGGATCATTTTTTTGTCGTATATTGCGTATGATAGATTAGGGTGGAAAGATTCTCGATTATCTATAGTGTAATATTTTGTAATTGATGTAGGGTCAATGGAAAAGAATTGTTTAATGGTGTTAATTTTGATGATATCCAAAAAGAAAATACAAAATGAAATCAATCTTAGTTGGAAATGATGGGAATAATTTAACTACTTTTGTAATATAAAGTATCTCCTCAAATCCAATACCATACGATTCAGTGTATGCGAAGTATTGAGGAATTTCAGGGAGATTAGACTTTGTGAAACTCAGATAATTTCATGGTAAGATTGTTCTGGAAGAACAGAAGGAACATGGAAATGTAGATGACGGAAATATATCAGTAAGCGCAAGGAATGGGTGAAGCAGGATTGGAACTAATGGACTTTGGATTTTCAAGATCAATGTCCCTTTTCAAGTGAGATAACAAGAGGATCAAGTCAGCGTTAAGGGCCATGTAACTCGGACCTGGGAAAGCAGATAATCCATGGGCAGTATAGAATAAGGCAAGTGAACGCGATGATAAACAAATGAAGAGATTGAAACTGTGGCATCAATTGCAAAAGGCAATAGTCCATTGATGTGCTCTAGCGCGGAGAGAGATGGGTAGGGCGATGAGCGGTATCAAATGGGTCACAAGTTTCAAGAAGTGGAATTCATTCTAAGACTTTAATCTATGTAAACGAACAGAAGAAGGAAAGTTATCCCTGGTATCGGGTTTGCGATTTATGACCTGTGAAAATAATCGTATGAGATATCAATTCAGCAATCAGCCAGGCAAACTTGGCGGGTTTGCAACTGAGACTGATCTAAATTCCCGTCGCCATCAAATATCAATACCTTATTGACTTGGACGACACGAATTGGAGAAATGATGAGCCGCATTGATGAGAGGCTCACAAACACCTCGGAACGACATACTAAATTGGCAAGTGCTTACTTTACTTCATGACGGGCAGTTTGAATGGACAAACCGTATTCATTAGGAGTTTATGATCAGTGAAAGGTAAGCATGATAGAATTATATTGCTGGTACCTCCCAGCAAAAACTTCATGGAAACTATAAATTATCTGATAAATTAAATCTACGAAACACAAATAAATGTTGAAATTCACGCACATCGAAGGTAGTTGTTCATATATCAACACATTGATTTGTGCAGCATCGAAAACTTTACAAAACTTCAGTGCCTGGAAACAGCTCCGACAGAGATCCGTCGGCTGAAACGAGCTGAAATGCCTAAAGCACGAGTTTGCGGAACGTTACATCATTGAACGGGTCAGTAAGTATAGATGCACTAGCAGAGTTGTGGAGAATTCGAAGAATTGTATTGATGCTAGATTAAAAAAATCGTCAGATTCAAGGCCTGTAGTGGTCATGGGCTTTGAGACTAATCTCGACGAAGCATAAAAGGCGGCGACGTTCGACAATTAAGAGCAAATCTTGCCTCTTCTAGGCTTTTACATGAAAGTGTAGTGATAAAGTTTTAATACTAACAAGATTTGCCAACTATGGCTACAATCCTGAAACAGGTTATGCCCCGACATCAATATGCCCATAACCTCAAGCTATCGCCAACTCAACTGTAGATTGCAGACAGAGAGACAGTGACCTCGTCGGAGTACCAAGGTATAGGACATGTAGTTGGCCAACTAGCCACTGTAGTGATATCGCAGACCATGCAGGTAGAAAGATATTTTTGCTGCTAGGGCCGAGCAAGATCTCTGAACAAAACTTCGAGGACTAAGATTCGAGGTAGTAGGGCCGAGAGATTCCCAGGTAGAGGGAATGAAGGAGAGCATTGAGATGCCTAGGATTTGTTTTGGGGCGCGGTATGTTAAGGACGAAATTGCTAGTTAATTTGAGAAATCATGATGTACTATAAACTGTTGCACAATTGAATGCTATCAGCAGTATGCGGAGCACATCATGGAAAAGACCAAAGTGAATTGGGAGATAGAACCTCAATTTCCGTAACAATGACGGCATATAGAATAAATAAGCAAAAACGAACATGCGATCAGTATAAATGTGCTTGAATGATTCACTAAAAAACATTAATTATCAAGTACCCAAATTCAGCGTCATTGGGGTTCTTTGGACTGAAACCATCAAGACTTAGACATTAATGCAAAAGCTCAAAGTGCGGTCAAAATTTGACTGCATCTGACTAGAATAATTTGTATTTGCATTGCCCAAGTGTCATCTGAGGTCTGTCTGCCAGGAGTCTTCCTTTTTTTAGATGCACATCGAGAACCATCCAAACACTGGAAGTTTTTCGAACTCACTCTACGAGATCTAAGTACGCACTCCCCTATCCTTGGGTTCTTCAAAGATTCATCGGAGGTTATCCATGGACTTAATGTTTCCAACCAATGCTCATTTCCCACCATCGCGAAAAGAGCTCCAAATCTGACAGCACGCCTACGACGAATGAATCCGTAGTATTGAACGGCAGAAGTTCGGAAGATAAATTTTTTTTGTTTATCACCGCAGATCGGCTATGTCTGAAGGCTTAGAGGGGGACAAATTAGATGAGGAGAAATTACTTCAGAATGAAAAGTCTGATGTATTAAGTTCTTGGTGGTAGGTCATTCATGTGTTTTTAAACAATGGTGATGAGATCATAGTTACCATCGTATTCAGGAGGATGAAAAAGCTGAATGTGTGGATGAAGATATGGTTTTGCATTTGGCTTCTCTCGAGCAAGACAGGGAGGGATATGTTCTCATGCTTGGAGAACCATGGGGCCTAGGTAATTAGGAAAACCGTCATTCTTAGCTGACTTTGATAAATTTAAGAAACTTACACATGGGTTGTGATTTCTAAACATGAGTAGAGATATAGGTAAATCAATAAATAGTTCAGACTACGCAGATTTGAAAATAGACCCAACCCAAGAACTAGACCAATATACAACGCGAGAAAGCTTTCTTAGAAGACTAAAACAGATTAATTAAAGTAGGTAAAATAAACCACATGTCCTGACTTGATGGAATCATCATAATATAATTAACAATGCATGATATTTCTTCCTTTTGATCATGAATGTTGTCCCAAAACACCAGGAACCTCATCTACAACATTAAAATATACATATTAACAATTAGACTGCCCGCAAAAAATGCGAAACTTCAACATAATGTCATCATATCTCGTGAGCGAATGAATGTACACTTTTATACCCTCCCTCCCAAATTACCCCGCTGTAATATAGTTTTGAAGATTGTATAGAATGAGTACCCCGTCTTATAAACGCCATGCCCATAAAAAGATTCTAGACATCAAAAAAGAGACCATGATTGACGCCATATACTTCTTGGTATCAAGCCCCGTACTGAGAAAAATGCGGGAACAAAAGTCTCATCATCAGACTCCAAATCAAGATATTCGAAACCCACTCGTCGCTACTGTCCCGGTAGAGTTCAAAGGTATGCGAACCCCAGAATTCGCTTTAAAGAAACATTTCGAGTTCATCTCCGGATGTATGGGAGAAAATTGTATCCAAGTAGCTGCCAAACATTGTCCATTATTATATCGTGCGCATGATTCCAAACAATTTTCTAGAGTTGGGGTAGTGACGTTGGCTAGTTCGATATCTTCTCCCGGCGGAGAAGTCAAGTCGATAGCACAAGCTATACGAAATTCTACACTCGGCGCAGATGTTGTGTAAGTGGTATTGTTGACGTTGGGACAACCGGCCGAATCCACGATTTCCGTTACGGTCGGTGTGCATCCTGAAGATGTACCTGTAGATTCGGATTTAGAGGTTTTGCTGGAAAACTTGTGATCAGCTTTTTCCAATTATTCGCCGGGCACAAAAAAGTTACCTCGGACTATTATGTTTCCCGATCACACCTCCAATACCACCACCAATTCCTCCTCCTATGAAGAAAGAAACCACAGCTATCAAAACAAATGGCACCAGCCCGAATTTATTCTTTTGCTTTGGCGGAGGTCTATAAGGTGCAAGATCGTATGCTCTTCTTGGAGGTGGAAATTCCTGAAGCGGAATATTATCGTATGGTTTATTTAATGGTGATATTAGATGATTTGATGCCCTTCTCCCAGAATAAGAACGAACGAAATATTTATCCGGTGAAGTTAAGTATGGGGATTGTTCCTCGTGGACGACTTCTGGCGCCTCACTTGATATATGTAAGGGTCTAATTTGGTACCCCATATCTGCGATTAAATAATAATATCCAATTTATGCTAATGAAGGACAGAAAGAAATTGCATGTTTGATAATCAGGAGTGAAGGAATAACGATAAACTACATTAAGATGCTTCACTTGTACTTGTATGCCATCCTGGATTTCCTCCACATCCATTTTCGAAATAGCAAACTTCATTATTTCGGCTTTTGAGGCGCAGTTACGCAAGAATCAATATATGCTGCAGATATTCTGTAGCGGGGTTGTTTTTATACGCAATGTGATTGGTAACAGCCGTTTAAAGCTTGCGCCACAGAGATACAACACAAATCAACAACCAGATCATTGCAAGGATTTGTTGAAGATGGTTCCTAAATAATAAAATTTTGCCAAATGTGGTAGAAGCGAGAGCTACACTACCGCATGGAGGGGAAGTCTGACAAGTCTGGCCATCACTTGAAGACCTTTAGCCGCTTTGCGCCATCCATGGGAAACTATTGGTCGATCTGATAAGGCTAAATGAACATGTTGCTACCTAGGTACTGACTGTACTTGCCATCAACATGAAAGGTGCATCTTCTCGTTTCTCACGGGAGAAAGTAGGTGTGATGTTCTGATATTACCCCGAGTCTGATGGCCATAAATAAACATAGACATTGTACTTATCCATTACCGAAGGCGATAAATAGGTTTATCCTGGCAAATGGAATGCAACGTGAACAATCTTTTAGTTGTGCAGCAAATTGACAATGGTAAGATTGTCTCCATTGCTTTCTGGTTATGGTTGTGTGTGTGGCAGAAAGATTTTGCATGTCGGGAAACGAAAGCGGTGAGGTCTTTTTCGTCTCGTCTCCAGCACTTTGATCAAATACTCTTGGAGAACCCTCAGCATCGTATATGCAAGGCAAAACCCTGATATCTGTATCGAAGAACATGTACTCCGATACTCTTCTCTTCTTACTCGCCCTAATTAACCTCTAACAAGTACAATCTGATAAAATCAGAGCAAAGAAGAAAACCGGCGTTGTTCTACTATAATTTCCAGATCGAAGACTACGGAATTTGGCCCCGGCCTCTTCAAGAATTAATTCAATGATAGCATTTGTGAGAGGTATGATCCTGATAAGTGCTCGGAATAATGCCTCTTCCTTTACATTATTTCCCTTCCTCGAAAAATACCTAGATGACTCCAAATGTATCCTACCTCTACCCGACTCTGATAATTATTTCTCAATGAAGTTGTATCTCTTCAATTGGTACTCTTCCGCCTCCTACAAAATCTACAGCTTCTCCATTCATCAACCCATAAACAAAGCACTCACCTACAAGTTCCCAGCCCGTCCCGTCCCTTCTCAAAACAACAGGAACACTACATCCCGGCAATACCACGATTGAATCCCCTATCCTTGAAGCTGCTACCGTAAGACCAATCCTCCCATTTTTTGTTCCAATCAATCTCCTCCACGCAAGGATGTTAGCGGCCCACGATGAAGAATCTCGCATGTCATCACTACTTGTTCCTCTTTCTTCATTTCTATAAACCTTCCTTTCTTTTATCGTTTTAGCATCAGCCGTCAGATCTCCTAAACGTGTGCCACAAATAATGAGTTCCTTGTTACGCTCCGCGAAACCGTGAAGACTGAAATCTAGACCTGAACCTCCACCTTCTGATGTGCCAAATACTGACCATAGACGCGGTAAGCGGAGAACGGCCCATGATGGAGGAGGCTTTTCCCCATTAGGCGTGGTATCAGCTACAATAGTCCTCCAGAAAGCCTCTTTGACACCGTCGACAGTTCCATATGCATTTCGGATAGAGGATGCATTGGCGCAATTCTCCGGGTATGTTTCATCGGCCTCGTGGGCATTAAATGCTGAGAGGGTAGCTATGGAGTCGATGAAAACGGCATGTAGTGACATAAGATTATCAGGAGAGAAGACTGGCGGCGTAGGATGTGTGAAGCCACGATCTGCTTTGTAGATACCGGGAAGAAATATAACAGGAGCAGCTGTACACGACCAACAAACCACCCAAGAAGGTAAATCATGTATACAAGGTTTTACAACCTCTATGAAACGATCTCCTATCATTTTCCGCATCCAATGAGGATTAGTTGAAGGCGCTGAAGATAGCATAACCTTATTAACTGTAGAATGAATTAGTCTGAGAATATCCAAACCATGTTCGTTATTTGAGATCATTTCACGTGTGAAATTGGTAAATATCTCGGGAAGCTCGATTCGGTAATTTGGTGATACGTTTGTGAGTCCTTTCACGCAAGGAATAGCAAGAATTCCATAAACCTTATCCCGTGCATCAGTAGCTTGCGCCTGTCTTGCTAATTCGAGGGCTGGTAAAGCAGTATCTATACCCCTGTGATCTTCCTGACGCATGTTCTTAATACGAAGAAGATGTTTCCACTGTTGCCCAGGAGTTCCCTCGCGGTCTTCTAGTCGGCGATCTATGGTAGCTACGGTTTTATACCGATCAGCATCAGCAGTATGAGTAGTAATGTACTGCAAAACAGTATCTTCTTGCTTCTCTATAATCTCACAAGCTTTCCATATATCGCCTAGACACATATAATGACCTCCCCAGATAACAGGTGCATCCATTCTAGCCATGGCCAACTCTTGCAGAATCCAAAGACGATGCCAGTATTGACACGCAAAGAATAACCGAAGCGATTCAAAAGCATTGTCATGCCATGGTAAAGTGTAAGGAGCTGCCTCAACTGAACTGGCCGTATTATGATGTAAAGTCCCGTAATCAACAGCAAATTGCCTCAACCTGTCATCCGATCCTATCTCATGGGCTAACCATTGTAAAGCTGTGTATGCCATGGTTGTATTTGAAGTTGCCGAGCCAAGAGAGACAACCACCTGCCATGCCATAGCATAGATGTCTCGCATGAGCTTTACTTGCTGCTCACGCTCATCTAGATCATCTTGATTGATACATAGTGCATCGATCCATAAGTTAACACGACGTCTAACCCACTTTGACTCTCGAAGTTGAATTAAAGCAGTATGTAGATTCTGAGTGACCTGCATCTCAATCCCATTGACTAAAATTGTCTTTTTATCCGCTGGACTTCCCCAGACATATGAAAGTGCGACATATCTATCCGAGAGATGAGAAAAATTCTCGGTAGACGCAATGGTTTCACGGGAATCGACTTGAGTCTCCTTCAAAGACTTAATATATCCTTTCAAAGCGCGATCAAAAAGCCCTCTTCTAGGTTTGAATAACGTCGTATAATCGTATGGAGTTTGCTGAAGGGCTTTCCACTCCCTTTCAGCTGCAGTTTCACTCTCGACAAAAGCGGGGGATACACCGAGCTCCTTGAGCCTAACCGGACGCATTTGGCATGATATCATAGCAGAGTTATCAGGATATGAATGAGAACTTGGCTCGAGACACAGGACACGAACCTCATCTGCAGCCAGAGGTTGGTAAAGCAATGGGCTCCATGTTGGAGCATCAGCCATGTTGATTTGCGATTTAGTCGATCTACTCGTTAGAGGAGGACAATTTGGGAGAGTACCTCAAAAGAATTAATACAAGAGAAAGTCCTTTCATGATGATTTCTCGTCGCAGTTTGATGATTATTCCCCGGATCCCCCACCTATGACATGACGGCGGCAATGATCAATCAGCATTGCTTATTGAGGGGATTCCACGTAAAGAATGAGCTGTTTCAGCCCCTAACTTTCTCCATGTCACCATTGGATAATAAATCAACCAATCAATTGTGATTTGCTGCTATGGTAGTAGTGGGAAAAACCATTCGAAGATATTACACGTAACTAACCACTCACGTGCTGATCATGATTCTGCATTCATGGCATCTAAAATATCCCGTATTAAGGTTACCACTAAGCCTCCTTTCCTATCTCCGTCTCGTCTTCCATTCTCGTCTCATCCCTTCTTCATGCTTTCACTACCAACAAACTACATTCTAGTGAGGTAGTATCACAATCTAGAATGAGCATTGTTATGGCTGGTGCTTACAACCCCAGTGGCTGTGAGTCTTGCCTGACAATTTGGTTGATACAAATTTAGAATCAGCTCTAGTCCCAAATTTTATTAGCTTGCGAGAGCGTTACATTTGATCTATGTAAAGTTACATCGTCATGTTTCTTACCTTTCCTGATTGCTTCAATTTGCTTTTGTCTTGCTGTATCCTTCTTTTTATGGACATCACATTCTTGCCGCACAATTCCGTTACCCAGTAAAGCTCACAATATTCATACGTTTTGTTATCACATCACCTCAAACAAAACTAAGAAACATACAATTCGAATCGATAAAGCATATTCAATTCTAGAATGAATAGTCATAAACCTATAGTGAAACACGCTATGCACCTTTATACTCCTCCCTCAAATCGCGCCATTTGTATTTCGAAAATGCAGTCCATTCAGTAATCCACGTAGCCAATTTGTCCAATTCCACAACATTAATTTATCCCGCCGCGAGAATCTATTATTCTTTCTAGTCTTAAGTTTCCTTCATGATCCTTCACGTTTATGCCAAAAGACCGACGAAAGCAAGTGCGAGAATGGCAACGGCACCCTTGGACAATTGCTTGACGGTTGGTTGACCAGCATTAGCACTGGCTGAGGCGGTAGCACCGGAAGATGTTGCGGAAGCTGAAGTCTTGTCCGAGGTCGAGGCCGAGGATTTTGAAGTGCCAGACGCGGAGGTTGAGGAATGGCTTGCGGCTGATCCTGTAGCCGTTGTGGTGAAAGTAGCAACAGTGGAAGAAGCAGCGGACTCGGTGCTACTTGGGTAGATAGTACCACTGCCAGGGATTGCAGATCCGGAAATATCGTCTAAGGTACAGCCGAAATCAACGCCGTTAATACCAGTGCTCGCAGCGAAGCATTTCTCCCAATTTTGTTGATCAGTACTGCCAGTGACATTGCACGAACTATAGCAACCATCCATCAGGACCGTGACCGGAGCACTACCACAACAACGTGTCATGGCATTTACAGCATCAGAGTTTGAGGTGATGTTTCCTGCGGTACAAGCATTTATGTAGCTAGGATTGGTGCCGAGGATAGCAACAGGGAAGACAGTGTCAGCGGGACCAGTGCAACTCATCTTGGCGGTTGATTCTTGAAGTGCTGAAATTGTTTGGAGGTTTTAAAAGTTGAGTTGCTTGATGGTTGAGTTGTTTGGAGGTTGCGTATTTTGATGTTGTGTCGTTGTAAGGTTGGTTCTTGATTTGAGTTTGTGAGATTTTAAAGGTTGTTTATGTTAAAAGTAGAAGGGTCTCAAAAACGACTAAATAGCTGAAGCAGGCGCAGCAGGTGATTTGATCAAGACGCAAGTGCCGTAAGTTTGTTAATCTCAATGAAATGATTAAAAGCGAATGATGTTATTCAATTACTTGAGGGGGGAGTAAGAAAGTGAATATCAATTGGAAAAAAAAAAGTCTTGGGAGCTGGAAATTATAAGGATTCTTAACGATCTTTTAAAGCTTATTTATGCCACACAGCAAAGTATAATGAACTATAAAGGCTTGTCTGATAGTATTCTGTTAATACTGAAATGGTCAGACGCAATCACCGGGGCAAAGTAATACAACAGTTGGAATAAGCAATCAAGGCTGTGCAGTACTGCCGTACACAGTTGGTTCCTGCAGTGACTACGAGCTAGAGCAGTGAAGAAAAAGATATGATTTGTTTCCAGTGAAGCGGTAACCAATTGCATTTTTTCGTCGCAATGTAACAAATTTTCCTAATAACATAAGCTCCTTGAATTAATGTGGCTGGATCCTACAGGCGCAGTAATTTAAGTCAGCTTACTAGCCTTGCAAACCAACAGCCCCCAACACGAGCAACTTCTATCTTTCTAGTTCTACTTCCTTTCCCGAACAGTCTTCTGAGAAGAGTAGGATCAATTATCTTCTGGACCTGATAGTAATTGATACCCCTGATTTGATCTCTCGCGTCACTTACTTGAATGGTTACTCGGCTGGGTTGAGCAAGCATGTGATCATGTAATCAATCCTTAAAATCCTGCCGTAAGTTTCACAAGTCGACATATTATTAAAAGCGGGACAGTGGGTACAATGGAAACATCTGATGATTCTAGTATTTCAGAATCCACATTCCACATTTTGAACACAGGATCAGGCCTCCACTATTTCTTGATCGTAAAGTATCAGCCATTCAGGGTGACCATTTGTAAATGGAGATCTTCCAATTAATTTTGCGCCGCTGCTGATCAGGCCAGTGCTGTAGAGAAACCATGTACGCGGGGGATTCCTCAAACCCACAAGGGTAGCTAATCATAAGCACTAGCGTATCGTTGTGTGCCAGTCATAGCTACCCCCGTGTTTCCTTCGCACCTGTAAGCATTATCGGCTCGCTGTGGACTCGAGTCTATGGCATATGTACTAGATCTTCTCATTGGCCGGTTTACGTACAACCTCAGTTAAGATTAATACCTTTTCCCCCCCTGCCATTGAAATTCTTCCTTCAACATCCTTCTGTAACCTCATGTCTAGTTGAGGCTTACATTTTCATATGAAGAAGATCTATTATTGTCCCTATTCTACCGGTTTGGGGATCTGTCCGATAACCATGCTATTCCTTCGAAACCGTTGGGGAAGTTGAGGCTGATGTGCTATTACATACGATGAGTTTGATCATCCTGAGAATTAAGCTTCTCACGTGGCTACCACGATGTTTTCCTAAGTAATGCTGTTGAAGGAATACCCGAAATTTGCCCAGAATCAGCATCCTACTCTCCAATGAACTGTTTTGTGTACTTTTCATGATGATCATCGCAGAGGAAGTCTTTTAAAATTGTACCTTTATGACTCGCTTGAGCTGGGTTATAAGCATGCACACGAATTCAAGGCAGTTCTTGGCTGCTCCTACCACTACCTCCACAAGAATCCTTCTATAGCGATGCAAACTATGTGATGATTGAGCTCATCGATTCGAATATGTAAGACTCTGGAAAGAGAATGCTCTGTATATAAGATAGAGGAGCTTCATGGGCTCCTAACTTCCTCTCCTCATCACATTCCACATTCATTTGACAACCTCTCTCTAGTCACTCTTTTTTTTTCCTTCTCTAGGGTCCATTGATCCGTTTCATTCATTCATTGAGTGCCGTTGTTGATACGAATAATTGATTTTCAAATCCCTTCTATCTTTCCTTTAAAATTTCATCTATAATATCGAAATTATGCGTCAATCAGTCTTTGCTCTTGCGGCTCTGTCTTTATGGCAGGGTTGCACTGCTCAAGGTCCCAAAGAGACTCTAATCCCATATCATCCAGCAGATCTGGGACTTGTGAGAAGAGATGCACCACCTATGATAACTCTTCAAGATGAAGTCAGTCTTATCTGGGGATCACCAAATGGTATGTCAGCTTTTCCTCTCCGGGACTCATCATAGCTAATCTAGAAAAGGTTCAACATTTGTCAATGTAACCCTTAACACAGGCGAGACCGAACTTGTCATCTCCACCGAACACTTTGCCAGCAGTCTCATAGACGTACAATGCACAGGTGACCTATCTCTTACTTTCAAAGACAATGCCACCTTCCAAGATGCCATTGCAGATTGGTCTTGGGTTAATTTCCACGAGAACCGCACATTCTTTATTATTAACAACTGGGGTTCTTGCGCTGCCGCTTCAGAATCTGGTAGACAGCCATGGATTGTTCACGGAGTCGATGTTTATGATGAACAAAACTTCATCGTCAACTTCAATGCTACCCTTGCAGACTGGGATGATGTTATGTCTGAAGCTGTTATTGAATTCGGATCTATGCCATCTACTTCAACCAAGAGAGATGACACTGTTAGCAAATCCTTATCTCTCAGTTTAGCCCACACTCTTCCCCAGACTTTCTTCAGCAAAACTACTAATAATGGACTCGACTTCTCCATTAACTGCCCAGGTTGTGCTACCACTGGTTCCATGAATGTTCAAGGAAAGATTGTTATGAATACCAACTTCATTGGTCTTCCTACTAGTGTAAAGTCTGTCTCTATCAACGCTACTCCACAAGGTGTAGGTGCCAACTTGGCTCTTGGATTTACGGTATCCGGTACATTGGGTAGCGGTTGGTCAAAAGACTGGAACTTGATCACTGTTGGTCTTCCAGGATGGTCCATTCCAAAGATCATCGATTTGGGTCCACAATTCAGTGTTGATGCTGGTTTCAGTCTCAGCGGTGTTGAAGGAAATGCTGATATTAGCGCTGGTATCAACGTTGCCATTCCAGATTCCTCTTCTGCTGTTCTCGGTATCAGTGGTATTGATTCTAGCTACAACGGTTGGATCCCAACTGTTACTCCTCAAACTCCCAAGGTCGACGTGGAGGTTGATGGAAACTTGGAATTGTTCACCTCACTTGGTCTTGATATTGGACTTACTGTTCTCGGCAAGTATGGTTTCGGAGGTGGACTATTCCTCCGAATTCCAGATGTCAAAATTGATCTTGGAGCAGAATTTAACACTCAAGGTGCATGCTCTGGATCAGCCGATGTCTTTGGTGTTAAATTAGGTGCAACTGTCGGTGTTGATCTTGGACTTGGTGTGTACACCGAATCTGGCGGAGACAAGAACTGGAAGGCAAACACCACCATCTATTCAAACAGCAACTTGATCACTCCTATTGATAAATGTTTCCCTCTGGGTCCAACTCTTCCAGCTTCTATCAAGGGTGTATCTATCAAGACTGTTGGTACTGTTCCAGTTTCTTCCTCTACTAAAGCAGTTAGTACCACACAGGCGGCTAGTACTTCATCCAAGCCAACTAGCTCATTATCTTCATCCAAGGCTTCGACTACTGCTGTCAGTCTCACTGGTAAGACTTCAGCAACAGCATCAGGCACCCCCATTAAAGTGTCTAGAACTAGCTTATCTTCATCTATCAAGGTCTCTGGTACTGGTGTCTCAGCAAGCAAAGTAACTGGTACAGGAGTCTATGGATATGGCACTGATAAGGTATCCGGAACTGGTTTCACATCAAGCAAAATTATTGGTACTGGTCTTTCATCATCCATCCATGGATATGCAACTGCTCATGCTTTTTCCTCTACCGGCAAGCTCTCCGGAACTGGCGTCTATTCATCCATTTATGAATATGGAAGCGCCCCAGTCTTTTCCTCGACCACCAAACTTTCAGGAACAGGAGTTTCTTCATTTAGCAAAGTCATTGGTACAGGTGTTTCATCTGTTTCATACGGTACTCACCCTGACACCACGCTTTCATCTGTTAAAGGTGCGAGCACTTCAACTCATCTCACTGAAGGATATGGTGATTTTACTACTTCGGTTGCCAAGTCTTCCGACACCGCTGTGATTAGGAGCTCTCTGTATATCTCTGCTTCGGGAGTTAGCTCAGTCAAGACCGCCATCGCTTCATCTAGCACCTCATCTGTTCTCGGACTTGAGACCAGCAAATCCTCCTCTTCTTCAACTAAGGCAACCACAACAGCTGGGGGTCCAGCCTACGGATATGCCACCTCTTCCGCTCTTGGCCTCGAGACGACCAAAGCTTCTTCCACTGCAGCCTCAACTACCAAGGTCTCCAGCACGATAGTAGAAAGCTCCACCTCAACAAAAGCATCTTCAATAGTCATACCCACTAAATCCGCCATCGGTTCCATTGCCCCAGCTCCAACTGCCACCGGTACAATCTCCACCTGTGACAAATGGGTCATCATCGAAGATACCGCCTGCTCATGTCAAAACATTGAGAAATTCTACGGTGTGAGTTCCGCTAATCTTCTTACCTGGAACCCAGCTCTAGGAAGCGAGTGTAAATTGACCATTGGAGAAGCTGTCTGTATTGGAGTCAAGGGCTCCTACAAACGCGCTGTTAGTGGTCGCCTTGCTCGATTTATCGATGCTTGATTGATTCTTCTGCATCATGTTGGTTAATGGAATAGGGTATTAAATGTGGTATGAATGATATTTGCATTTTTTGGAAAGACCAATGGATGGATGGGTGGGATTTTGTATTTCTTTATATTTCTTTTCGAATTTTTATTTTTTGGGTTAGGGAATGGGTAGATCGGCCGAAATGGCTGGTTTTAGTGGGGGAATTATTATTGCATTTCTGCATTCTGTACGAGTAGCATGAATTTTGAGAAAAGGAAAGAAAGTTTAAGATGATGATTTTGAAGTTTGATTGTTGCTTGTTGAAGATTGTGATTTGTGAGATGTGCGCTCTTTCCCCTGATCCATTAATTTTATACTTGGAAGGAACTACAAACTCCTAGGGGGAAAGGCCCTTGAAGCTACATGTGGTTTGGAGGAATCCTTCAATAGCTCACTCTTTCGAAAAATGAAGTGATTGAGCCACACGGATTAATTTTGCATTAAATCATAGAATATTTTGAGCTCTCTGTGGATACTTTTCTCGGCTTCATTGATCCCACACCAAAAATTCACGATCCAGCCATTCCAACTTCAACTTGAACTTCGACGCCAAACTCTGCCCCCTTGCATTTGAGCTTCCGACTCGAACGGTCTCCATCAATAGACTAATACTATAATCGAAAAGTTGTCGCACTCCATGCGCTCTGCCGTAAATTTGGACGAAATCGTACGAGCCCTTCTTCCTTCAAAGAACGAATATTGAGTTAGCCTACTATTCTTCGATTAAACTACGACCATTGACCAAGCGTGCGAAGCCATGGCCTTCAAAAGTAGTCGGTCTAGTTTATTTTCTATGTCTGCAATACCTGAATATGATCCTGAACTTGTAACTAATCAATCCAAGACTGAGAGCACCCCATACATGGAGTAAGTTCATATGTCTAAGGACGATGAAATTAAAGACTCATGAATTACCTAGTTCTTTTGGAACAGATTTAGCACAGATTCATGTAGCCCGAGGAAATCTAATGAGGATCTTCCATGTGTATAAGAAGAAGCTCTGCCATAGGATACACCATTTCAATCAGCTCTTTGAGGGCAATCATGATCCTTTTATCGAATTTTCTGATATATCACCGCCCATTTTTGACGTGCTTATCGAATGGGTCTACACAGATTGCTTACGGGACATTGAGATAGTGAAAGCCAAAGGTTCCGACCGTAAGACTTTTTCCATCTCATGGAATCCTATACCGCTGTATATTCTTGCAGAAAAATTGAGTCTTCCGGGGCTTATGGACCGAGTTATGGAAGTTGTGCGAAAACTAGACAGGTCAGAAGATGTCTATTATAGCCCAGAGGCGCTCAAGTCAATATATGTGCACACTCGCGGAAGATCGAAGATTAGAAAATATGTTACAGAACACGCTGCGTATGCGATTCGCAACTTCGACGAGTTATCCAGTCTTTCAACTACCGAATTATTGTCTGCCATGGAGAACATAGATTTCGTTCGTGATTATTTAGAAGTAACCCGCATTAGGAACCTCAAAGATCCGCGCATAGGTCCTGGTTGCGAATATCATACCCATTAGGAGCATGAAGAATGCCCGGCGCGGAGGTACTTGGACGATGCAAAGATAACCATTCGTGAACCCGAAAATGGTGTGGAAAAGACAAAGCCATCATCAAAATAACCAAGACTACCTCCAGGCTCGCGACGGCAAAAAGCAGCCCAACAAGGAATTGATTTTGGTTCTCGACTAGAATTCCAATAATTCGACTGCAATCCGACAATAAGGGTCTCCGGGTTCCTGAATTTCATAAAAACATTCAAATGGTTTCAAACACCGGATTCATTTTGAAAATTGAACTGGCCTCAACCTCCGAAAGCTCACATCTGGTCCGCTACTTCGAGCTAGTGGACACACTATTCTTGAGGTAGTATCATAATCTAAAGGGGATCATTAAGGACATTCAACTCAGCCGGGTTGGGAAACTCGTTAGAGTCATTCAGCCATATTGGAACATTGACAGCTGTTTGACCATGGAAAGAATTTAAAGTTAGAGTGCAGTCTAGGCTATTAAAACAACCGAACATTATTCATTTCTTGTCGTTTCAACCTTTATATGATGGTCTACAGAGATTTTTCGCACACAATGATTTTTGGAGGGAGGTTTCAGCGTTTTTGATATTAGTATCACTTGGCTTTAAGCATGGAATGCATAGCGGAAATCACAAAAACTCATTGAATTTGTAACAGAGAAAATATATGGGATTAAAATACAACTCCTTGTCGTTTTAATCAAGAAAATTAACAGGAAGTCTATCAAATAGATTGGCTCCGCAAAACTCAGTGTTCGTGTCGATTTTCCACTGCATTATTTTTTTCCACCTTATCAATCCATCTCTAGTCCCATCTGGTCCCAAATCGTTTTGTTGAAGCTTAGTAGAACTGGGAGAAGAGTTAGAGTAAATATGAATGCAGTCCCCCCTGGAGCTCACTTAGGTAATCTCTCGCGATCTTGAACAGCTCAGGCCCAGGACAGACCTATGGAAAGCTACTAAGTAAACAAAATTGACTAGATATGATTCTTGCAGATTCGAAACACAGTCTTGGGAAGAGTTGTGGAACATGCGATTGGTGGAGGATGTTAACTGTTATATTCACCATAGATAGGTGCGAAAGAGTCTGCCAATAGATAGCTTCAATCGGGCAGTAGAACATATCAATTTATCTATAGTAAACGAACATGTAATAATTCTTCTTGATACAAAACATCAAGTTCGAAATGGAATATTCTGTCTTTAGATTTTCGAGAACTTCCTGTAGTAATTTTGCCTGCCTTTTCTTATTTACAATTCGTTATGCTACTTTTTATGGTTATATTCAAATCGAAATTCTAGCTTAGCAGTTCACACTGTTTTTAAGATGATTTTTACATGAGCACAGAGGGCATCCAAATACTCAACACTCACTTGAATAAAGTAAACAAAAGCTCAAGCAATATTGCAATCTTAAATAAACGAGATTCACTGTTACCCCGCAGCAAATAATCTGCATCAGTATTAACCTCTTCATCTTTCCAGCTTTCTACCTCCAATCGATACTTCTACGAGCATCTAGCAGGTGCTGTCTCTTCAATCTTTCAGCATTACGATCTGGAATTTCGCAGACCCTCAATCAGAGCAGGTCAAGACCAAAACATCACCAACTGGAAGCGTTGATCTCTCAGCCTCAAAGCAGTTTCCACAACCACCGCCACCCCTAAGCAGCTTTTATCATTCAACCCAAATATTGAAATATGTCTCAAAAGCGTAATCATGCTGAGTTCTCAGCGGGGTCTTCAGTGACCGAGGAAAAAACGCTTGTCGGTGCAAAAAGCCATGCTGTTGCCAAGCGCAATAAAAATAGGGTCGCAAAAAGAAAACCCGCTATCTTCATGAAGTAAGTTCAAGTAGCACCCTCTCATACATGAAGACTGATGAGGATACGCAGCTCGCTTGGAAGATAAATGGCTAGAATACACGTTGGCAGCGGTGAAGACCATATGCGTTTTCATGTACATAAAGAGAACAATTTGCGCAAAGTCGTCCTATTTCGAAGAAATTTTCAAGAATGGAGGGACTATTGCTAACCTTCCAAATCATTCGCCTCATATTTTTGACGTACTCCTCGAATGGATATATACCGATAAGTTGCGTTGTATCGATGAGATCCTCTTAGATCTTGAGGACACTGCATTACTGTACCAAATGGCGGAAAACCTCGGTTTACCCAAGGCTATGAATGCCATTATGGATCAATTTCAAGCATATGATTGGAACAACGGCTTTGCTTATATGTTCCATGCAATTTGCAATCAAATCCCTCTATGAAATTACGCTAAAAGGTTCATGACTCCGGATCTATGCTGTCCGGCTGATTTCATTTGGCCTTCAAAACGACCTCGGCTCCTATTCTCACAAGGAACTACTGTCACTCTTTAAGAATGATGACTTCACACTTGACTTTCTCGAAGCAACTTCGAACAAGGGGGTCGGAGATCCTCGCGAAGAATTTTCATGTCGCTTCCATGTACACACAGACGGTGATACATGCGCAAGCAAGGACGAAGATGGTGAGGGTGATTGGGATGGCGAGGTCGGTCAGTTGAAGGACAACGAGTCTGCTCCAGAATGCGCTTGCAAATTGGATGGAAGCTAAGCGATAAGAAAGGCAAGGCTGTCTAGATCTTCTAAAATTGCAGATCATTATTCTGATATCTGCGACAGAAAGATCGATGACGGTTACCTGAGTTGAATGCGATAAGGCTGAAAGATTGGTATGCAGGGGTTGAGATACGAACATAGATCTTCAACGCGACAGTCTCCAAGGAAACTTAGAGCGGCTTCATAAGTAGTTAGTGTTAGCTTCCACCTAAATGCTTTGAGCGTTAATTCATCGTGTCCATGGGACATCATACTTTTCTTTTGTCGTGAAACGTCCAAATTAGGTTTGATCTCCCCACATAAACTAGCCCATAACCAAATCTATTGGACTTAAGCTGACTCAAGTTGCACTGACCACAAACGGGTGTGTATTAGCATTTTTAGCAGAATCAAGTGTCAAGTGTCAGATACGACTATCAAAAGTGTTGAAATCTAGATTTTCATTCAAGTAGGAGGTTCATTGTGGTCCTTTCCGGGACTCGAAATCATAGCCAATTCTTCCACTTAACCCCGATAGTGGAGAGTGATAACACAGCTTCGTAATTCTGTAGAGGATACGAGTGTTATTTCATTGTTACGTAACACGATATCTTCTTGTCAAAAATCATCTTGTAGTTTTCGATTTCTTGAATTTAGTTCGCATGCTGGTAGAATCTACTACAAGTGTTTATGCGGAGTTGCAAGCAAGTCCTCGCTTAACCTTATCGGGTTGCTGAAGATGAAGGGGAAGAAAACTTTATTGTAGGTACCGCTCGAGGCTATATATAGCGCCGTAATTTCTTGCATCATTGCCTCTAGAAACAACAGTGGCGACCGAGACCAGATGATTTTGGGCTTCATATAACCATGTGATTTCTGCTTAATCGCATAATACCTCAATGCAGAATCGCGTCAATACATTGAATAACTCATTCACAGAGTAAGACAGATCACATTCCCACCAGAGCGTACCTTTCTTAATACCAACCTGTTAATGAACCCACCAGGACCTTCAAGAGGGTTCGCTCGGGAAAAGATGAAAGCGGATCGCCTGTGGCAAATGCCACTTCTAGCAAGACAGGAGCGACTGGAAGTATCAATTGGTCCGGAGTCAAAGTAATTCCAGTCTCGGAGGTAAGATGATAGCATCCCCCTAAAAATGGCGATTCTACACCGACTAGTGTATCTGCTGCCAAGGGACACTTCGCGATCAAAGTCATGACCCTTCAAATTCTATTGACCCTGTTAAGAGTTATGATATTCCCTTTTATGAGTAAATTACCTGGATTCAAAACCCGATATCCCGTACTGATGCGCTATGCGACGAAATCTCGGATCTTTAGAGTTACGCTGTAGAGCTGACGGTCTACAGCATCGTACAGCCCAAAATATACAGCGACCACACAATAGATACCACTGATCTGTTAGATCTTGTGCAGATCGAGATGTTTACTAAGGAATTTATCCTTTTCAACCAAAAAACACACTGAATGACTGCACCTATCATACACGCGAGGAAGACTTTTGCAGGGCTCAGAAGTACTCTACCAAGTACCAGATCATTACCAAGTGGCTCGTTCACCAGAAAGAAGCCACAAGTTCTACTAGAAAACAAGGCATTAGTATTGTAAAAGGTGCGGGCATCAACACACTATTACTTTCCATCTTAGCCCTCATGAGAGGCATACCTTTCCCGTGGTGTCAGGCTCAATATAGCAAGTACGATCGTGAGTTTATATAGGCAGGAACTTTAGCTCCAATAATAATATAACCTTCATACCTACAAGAAGAGTTCATTAACGGCAAGTGGTGGTTTTCAGATGCACTTAGCTTCGTTTGCTTTACCATGGTAGCAAATATTATGATCAATTTTCGACAAATGTCATGGTTTTCAAGGATTCTTGATTAGCTGGCGATTAAAGTCCACCGGAATTCCATGCAATATGAAGTAAAAGTATAGCAAATATAATTCTAGACCATGTCGAGAAGAAATCTATGAATCAATGTTTTGATCCCGCGAACAAAGTAAAGATATTGTGGCAGAGGAGAGAGAATCTAGAACCACCAGATGGGGCCAGATATCAGCGTTGGAGAATCTGGTACGAATTCATTTTAGTACCAGCAGATCACTCGAATACCAGGCTATAATTTACAACACTCAATGACACAAAGATAATTTATTACATTGATGATATCTCTAAGATATGGGAAAGAAATAACTACCCTCTCTTGAATCTGTGTTCTTAGGCTCAATGCGGCATTAGGGTAAATCTAATGCGCTAAGTGATAGTCCTGCTTGATTAGAGCTGGAGCTAGAGCCAGAACCAGAGCTATGATCAGCGGAATTTTATAAGCTCTCAAATAACTATTTATTCTTCAAATGCATCTTCATCCTTCACTTCGTACATTCTCAATCACTCACTTCTTAAAGACCTCAATTTATCAACATTACAATCAATCATTTACGTATCCTTAATTCTCGATCATTTAATCCGTCATTATCCCGATCTACCCTATACGATTTTACTTAGTTGGCCTAGGTTCGCAGTCGATTTACCTTCAACAAACTCCGAGATTATCGAATTCGACATCATATACATCCAATAGCTCGAAAGACAGAAAGGTACTTCATTCTCCCCATCATAATCTTTCTTCTTTGAACAGAAGTGGCACCTAGCCGCTACCGCATCTACATCAAAAGCTGTTCTAGAAGACATCGTACCATTAGAGTCCTCCCCCTCGAATTACTTCCAGAAGAAATACATCTCAGAGGAGAACAAGAGTATAAGGTCAGTCATATCGGCATATAACCTGCGCTTTGAAATACGGTTCAACGATACCTTCGTCACTTTCACTTCCATATACCGACATTGCATTGCGGCGTCATATCTCTCGAATCACTTTAAAATATTTACGTCTTCAAGCAAAGTACGAGAATAAAGTTGATTGTACCGGGACAAAATATTGGGTATGTAGATGACCTGACCTAGCCGATACATTCATCTATCTCATTGCCATAAACTAGATTAAACGTTGCGACGTGACATTATCACCTGCGAACTTGCGTATCACTTACGACTTTCCATATACACACAACGGTAAGGCAACAAACCAATCTCGAAATCATTTAAATATTAACCGAGTACCTTAGTTGCTGTATCCGTGACCCATTCACATTTATTTTAGTAGTATCACTTAAAGAAACGATACTTCATAGACTATCATGGCGAACTTAGCTGCAGATGGTCCTATTTTATGGTGGGTTATCATTTCTTTACAATACACTAAATATTGGAAGCATTGTTATCCTTAACTCACGTACGCTTAATGCAGCCTATGGGTACCTGGACTTCTTGTTTTGTGACGCATTATCCCAAAGTTTTGCTCATTGAGTTTGTATCATCATAGCAAGATTTTCATTGATTTTTGTTTTGATTGATTTTACCGTATTTATTAGATTCTTCAAGATTTGGCGCATCAAAGCCATTCCTTTTATCTAGGTCACTTCAATATTTCGTAATGTTGGAGAGATACAGCCTTGTAATATTTCAGTAGGACTTTATGGCAGAGTATTAGAGACCCTACAGAGTGTCTAATGTTCAAAATTCTTTGATATCAGTAATTTTAACATGTTACTAACGAGGGTTTTACATAGGTCCGCGGAGGGAGAAAGGGTCGAAGGAGAAACTATCACCGTATACATGGGGAAGTGGAACAGCAGGTTCGAAATCAACAAAGCTTTTCTGCTGGACGAAGTTCCCTTTTTCAGGACAGTGTTCAAGCGTTTCCACCCACACAATGAGGTGAGGCGGGCCATGTACCCAAAAGGTGACTCCGAAAGTTTCGGCATACTTTTGAACTGGCTCTGTACCTACAGGCTACCAGCCTTGACTGCCAAGTTTGAAAATGGGGATGGAGAAGTTGAATACTCTGGTTATCAACCTGATAAGCTATACTATCTGGTTGTAAAGTTCCAACTTTTCAATCTAGCAAACCACATCATGGATTGTCTTATGCCATGCCATCATTATCTTTATGTTGGATTCTCCAAAGAACAGATAATGTCCATATATAAGCAAGGCATTAACAAAGGGGACGAATTCTTTGGGCTTCGAAAATTTGTCTCTATGTGGTTGCTCCACGAGTTGACCAATTCGCGGTTCGAGAACAAGTTGAGTACAGAGGCCGAGTACGAGTCTCTTCTAGAAGTACCTGAAGTTCTCGGCGACCTAAGGAAGCTTGATGCTGGTCTCGAAAGAAAATGCCCATGGCACCTGTTGACTTGCAGCTTGCATAAGCATGACGATGACAACCGATGTGCAGAACGGATGTACAAATTCGAAACTGTGGAGCCAAGTTATGGCGAAATTTCAGTACATACTCTACTGAGATAGCCTAAACTGGGAAAATGGTATGGCTATTTACCCAACTACTGTGGAGGAAAAGTCTTCAAAAAAGCTGTAGCTTTTGAGACTGGCTTCTGGATTGTCAATGCATTTCAAGTCAACAGTTTCTTGTATTTTCGGGACGGCGTAATAGCGGCATAGCTTTATTGGAGTTACCGTGGGTCGGACTGGGGTTCTGGTGCTTTTTTTTTGTACGTCCATGGTTTTTAGTGGTGTTGCTGAGAATGTTGGGAAAGGAGTTTTGGTCACTTGGGAGGATTTATAGCATATGATACCCCGCAAACCACGTTAGCCATCGGTTATCACCGATGTGGTATGCGATATTCAGGGCTAAGATGCATGAATTTTGTAATAGTTTGGAAAGTTTGGGAGAGATATCATCCAAGTCATTGATATTAAAGTTTGCGTTATTGTAACTTCAAATGTCTCGTGATTCTTTAAAGCTGGTTCCCGGAGTTGTATTGTACTTTAAGCCGAAGTTTCTACTGCTATAGTCATGGAACGGTGGATTGGACAGTGTTAAAGGCATAGTACCGCGGTAGGAGGTAATTGTCATCACTCAGCGAAGGCAGATGTGCTTTTTGTAGAAGCAAGACCGGATTGAGTTGCGGGCATAGTAGAAAGAAGAAGGACATGTTCATACATACGACTTAGGTCTTCGAGGGAGTGGAAGAACTGAGAGATGCGTCATCGAAGAGATCAATCAAGAAATAAATGTGAAGTATTCTAGACGAGGAAATGACGAGAAATCAGATTCTTTGCATAATGATAAATTCAATAATTATATTATTCTAGACTTTAGATTTCTTATCTCAATTAAAGATTTTTCTAAGAAGATATTAAAACTATCTAATAAATTTAATTTTATGAATTTGATTCTTAAAATAAATAAACTTATAGAGTTAATTAAAGATTGTTAATGTTAGATTAATAACCCAAAAAACACTTTGTTGAACGTCCACAACTTCAAAATTTTCATTATCATCATATATAAATTGAACCAAGACATCAATATCCCCTCGCTCACTAGCACCCCGACCATCTGAGGTATTAATGTCGATATTTGACAATTATATTCTTCTTCTTTGTGTCATCCTCATCTGAAGCAGTCGTCATTTTCAACATCAACCATTTCATGATATGAGATTTAATATTTTTTCCGTAAAAATATAATTTCCATCATTTTCATCAACAGTGGTAGTCAAATCCCGATCATCACTTACAAAGATGTAAGAAGAAAAAAATAAAGAAGAATTGGTTAAGAGTAATAGGAATGGCAAGGGCTTGTTGGAATTCAATTACAATAAAAACATCTCCTACTTCATTATTTTCATTGTCTTTATCGTCTCCATCTACATTTTCAATTTGAGAACAGAACTTTTGTAATTTGTCCATGTCAGATGATCAAAATCGTAACAGAAGCTTCTCATTCTTACAATAACCTTATCGGAGAGTCTAACTTGATGTTTTCATATCATGCTGGAGATCAAACTAAGTCTTACCACAACTCATCTTTACTTTCCACACCACAAAGTAAACGAAGAAAAACTTTCAACGAGCTACCTAAGTCTTACCACAACTCATCTTTACTTTTCATACCAGAACACACAATCAAATTCTAACAAGACAAGTTGCTCCATATCATTTACACCTTTATTGAGATTTTACCTTAAAGTAAATCTAGTACCCTACTTTTGGACCACCCCTCTTTTGGACTACCCTTTTTGTTACGAGGTTTGCCGTCTAGATCACGTGGAAGTGCTCTAGGCTCTCGAGGTGGTTTATAACTAGGCGTCAAGCAGGGACTTAAGTAATGACAATAATGATATGCTATTCGTAACTAATAGTAGAGTATACTAAATGATTGTTCTTGAGCACGAAGCTCTATACAAAGGAAATCCATCTTGATTATATAGACCTTCGTACCGATGGCTACTCAGTAGGATTAATACGGCTCAGTACTGAGCTCACTGATCCTTACTGAGCCAGTCACGTGATATTGATTGCACGTGAGGGTTTCTTGTTACTCGGCGTAATAGGCCTGTCACTTTGGATTCTCAAATCGAAATGCGAATAAACCGAGAGATGAAAACTTCGACCATCAAATTCAGATTTCTTTTCGGTTGATTACCTATGGGTGAAGTGATAGCGATGAATGCCACCAAGCCTACTTCTGTCTTTCCACCGAATATTCGCAAGTAATTCACTTCCTCAAACACTATATCAGTATGCATTCACCTCATCCTCAAAGACACACTTGAGAGTTATTACGCACAGTTCGTAAATAATTCAACCAGAGGCAGGCACCAAGAACAAAACCTCGATAAATACAACACAGAATTGAAGAAGTTTTAGAAGGCATTTTCAAGCCTTAAGTATGGCTATATGATATCGACATGCACTAGCACAGATGTATTGCAAAGAAACTTTCAATTCCATATATCTAATCAAAACTGCCCCAAACCAAAAAAAGGAAATAAATTATTTCTAAGAGCAAGAATATAGATTGAAAAAACAACACACACCAATCCCAAGACAGCACACAATTTTCAACTCCCGCAGTCGCCACCCTGCTCCGCCATCTCCCTAACAAAAGGCTGTCACTCCAGGGGGTAAAAAAAATCAAAGTTCACGAGAAGTAGGAACAACACGACTAAACAAACACATACTAGCCTCACAAGGTTCTGAGAGCGTCTCGATGGGCAATGCCGTAATCGTACTATTAGTCGATTCCGGCTCAGCAATCGTAGAAGATTGAGCGGTAACAGGTCCTATGAAGGTTGATAGCTCGATGCTTGAGGATAATGCTAAAGAGATGGGGGAACTAAAGGCCAACGATGAAGATTGTGATTCTAATAGTGGTAGGGATGGCGATACACCTTCTAAAGACGTGGAAGACGAGGAAGATATCGTCGACGTGCTGGAAGATGAACTGGTTGAATCAGAGCTAGAAGATGAACTGGCCGAAGCGGAGCTAGAAGATGATGTGCTCGTCGATGAAGTACTTTCTGAGACGGTTGAAGAAGGCGTTTGAGATACCGAATTAGAATTAGAAGCTACAAGTGTCGAAGTCGAGGTAGAAACCGAAGTAGTTGTTGTTACAGAACGATTGATGAGTGATGTAGAGGTACTCGAACTTGAGCTCGTACTTTGTGTAACAATAATAGAGGTAGTAGTACTAGAGTAACAACGTCCCGCTGTTACAGTACTGGCGGTGATATACATTGCAGGAAGAACCGTCGCACAGATACCAACTCTATCGGCATTAGAGCTTCGGTATACACCAATTGTCCCATTACCGCAGCAGAAATTGCTTTCATAGGTACCGATCGTAACACGATATTGGTTCCATGATCTATCTGCGCATGCATTAAGCTGGGCATAGCAATCCGTGCCTTTATTATGTTAGCTTCGAGAAATAGAAAGTCAGGCGGAAAGAACGTACTACCATTGCAACAATAAGGCGCAGGTCCAGTTCCTGTTCTGCAGGTTTGGCCAGAGGGACAATAGTATCCAGTAGTCCCTGGGCATACGGATTGTCCTGCAAGTTTCGCTACTCCACCCACGAGACTGGATAGAGGTGAGTAGAGAGCATATCCTATGCTGACTCCCGCTGTACCACTACATCCAGAACCACATCCACCTGGAGCATTAGTACCGATAAGACAGTTGCAAGCATTTGCGACGGCAACAGAACCTCCCAGTGTAGCACAAGCACCACTGGCGAGTCCGTTAAGTGCAGGGGAGCCCGGACCTGTGGGTAATGGACACTGCACAGATGCTATGGCCGCTACGGCAAGATAACAAGCATTTACAGGACAGCACGCCATCTTTTATTATGCGGTATCGATCAATGATGAGGATTACCTTTTGCAAAAACAAAAAAGAAGAGGAAACGGCAGATATCAGAAGTTTTACAAAGTTCCATATCCAAGGAATGCTGGGCGTTGACGCCATTATACATGGAATGCGGGCGGGTGAGACCGTTGAAAGACATATGGAACGGCCCTGGAGGAACGGCCCTGGAGGAATGGCATTTGTGTAGATCATAATCATCACTATTAAAAATTCATGGGATTGTGGAATCGCTATGCTACTGCTAATGCTTGGCAAAATACTTGCCAGCATATTATTAACTTTTAAGTAGCTAGGGATAGGGATATATGAGAATAAGTAAGAAACCTTATCACCATCCATACGGATTGTAACTTTCGTATGTGACAAAATGGGACAGAATGACATGAGCTCACTCTTATAGAATTATCAGATGCCGACCTCGAGGTTGTTGTGCGCCAGATGAACGAGATATCTATCTCGTCCACCAAAAAACCATTCTTGATTAGACTATCAAACACTGGAAAGGCCATGGAAAAGATTTCACATGAGCGGCGGAATGTAGCTGCCGACGATATAAGGGATACATATAATCTTAGATCTGCTAGATTACCGAACGATTTCTTTCATGCCTAAACCTAGACATCGGAAATTCACAGATCTGATTATCTTACAGATAACAGATCACTCTTGACAAGTAGAACTTTCTACTATCGATATCTCAAAAGTGTCTACCAGGTATTCGTAGTCAAGATTGAGGTGGTTTACATATTTCCGGAAATCCGCGGGGTAGTCAGAGATATAATTGAGGAATAATGATTGGATGCAGTAGGTAGAGTGGGTGAGTGGGTCGCCAGGATGTGAAGAGGGCGCGACGTCGGAGATGCTGCTTTATTCTGTGGAAGACAGAAAGATGGTACTGCGTGTGAACAGGGTAATGTTGAAGTAGGGTTGGGCATTTGGAGTTATATAATTCATAATGTAAAGCAAAATTTTAGCTTTATATAATAATCTAGTTCGCATTATATAACGACTAAATGGTGGGGTAAATTGAAGCTATTTTGAGATCGATTGATCTCGTCGTCGCTCTCATTTTTGAATGATTTTGTTTTGAATGATTAACCGATTTTGTTAAAAGGAATGACCTTACACAGGGAATAGTGGGAAGCTGACAGGGCAGAACTGAGGCTATATTGGTCTTGTAAATGAATCACTCATTCTCTAAGTTCTACGGAAGTGCGAAGCTCTCCTACAGAGAGCTTCTCAATCTAGTCCTAATAGGACTAGTGCCCTGTGCACGTGCTACGCAGGAACCATTCACTTTAACATATAATAATCTTAAATTATTAAATTATTAAATTATTAAATTATTAAATTATTAAATTATTAAATTATTAAATTATTAAATTATTAAATTATTAAATTATTAAATTATTAAATTATTAAATTATTAAATTATTAAATTATTAAATTATTAAATTATTAAATTATATATTTTTTTTGAAAATAGAACTTTTTAATTATTTATATTGTTTATATTGTTTAAATAAAAATCATAATATAATAACGTAACTTATGGTGAACCGGGTCATATGGGGAACCGGGTCACAAAATTCAATTCTCTCTATGTGATCTTGTTCTACGAGCTACACATTCATCCAATTCCAACTCTAAATCACTTGAACTACTCTCTGGCTCTTCTTCTTCAGTCTCCTCTTCTAATTCTTCAATTGGATGTTTACGTGGTCGCCTTCGTGGCTTTTTCTCCTTCGGTTTTTCCTCCGCTTCACGTACTATTTTCAGTACTTCCTCACTACTAAAGACAAATTAATCTTGTAATTTGACTCTTTTGCCTTTAATTCTCTTTTTTCGAGTCTCAATTACTTCCTGAGCATCAGCGAGCTGTTTCCGAAGTAGGGCTATCTCAGCATTTTGAGATTCTACAAGCCTAGTCATTTTCTTGGCATATCGACGAATTGGTGATACAAGAGAATCATTATCTGCTAGAGCTTTATTAAAGGTTTGATTTGCTTGTCTTAGCTTTATCCCATTTGGAGGAGAGCTCCTGAGTATAGATAAGTCTAGATCTTGATTGGACATTCTCATTTGTAAAGTAGAAGGTTGTTAAAAGGAATTAAATGGTAATATATCAAGTACTTTTTGTAAAGCAAAAGGTACTAAATCAGCTTCTTTTCAATTAGCTTTAATATTAGAAGAATTCAATGCTTTTTTTCTAATATTTTGAAAGAGTTCTACCCATTCAGCTCTTTGAATTCGCTTTACACCAGTTCGAGAATATCGATCGATCTTTAAAATATAATATTGTTTTATTAGCCTATATACTATAATATCAAATGATTGAAGCAAATGAGAGCAATAAAGAGGTAATATAAGTAAATCGATTTCCTTCTCTATATAGAAAGCAATAAAGCTGTCTGTAATATGATTTGAATAGCCATCCATGATCAAAAGTCGAGGTCGGTCACCTGACACTTTCTTGGATTCTGATTCGAAAACCCTTTTTAGCCATTCTAATCCATGACTATTTGAGGTCCATTCATTCGTACTTGTAGAAAACTGTCAGCTTTGAGATGTGTCCTTTGGAATCTATGCAGAATTCGTATTCTGAGCCTTGAAAATGATTATAGGTAATAAAGCCTTTCCAACTGTATTGATACATTCAAATACAGTTATCCATTCTTGTTTGCTAGCTGTAACTTTCCAATTCGATTTCTGAGTAGAATCGACTATAATACACATACTTTGAGTACTTCCAACTCCAAATCCGGTTTTGTCTATATTATATATATTATCTAATTCATATTTTTGTTCAATGAGATATATACAAAACATATCAAACCAAGCTTGAATATTCTCTGGAATTGTCACTTTAGCCCGATTAGACTCTAATTAATGTGAATAACATGTTTTAAGTTCTGGATGTCGTTTTTGGAATCTATAGATCCATTTGTGGTCTATAAATGGAATTTCTGTCGAGATAGGAATTCGAGATGATGCGACCTGAATACATCGAAGACGAATTTCGTCGGCTATTTCCTTCATCAATATAGGTATAGCAGGGAATCCAGTGATAGTAAGTCGTGAAATCCATCGTACAAGAGTATTTTCTTTTGTGTTTAAAAGAATTTGAGCCATTTCGTAGGATTGAGTACATGATTTCCTTCCAGCGACCCTAACTATGAGAGTTGACTTAGGAACTTCAAAATACTCTGCAACCTTTCTAATTGATTTAAAGTCCTTCAATTGAAGTACAATAATAGCATTCTGTATTTTCTCTTCAATTTGAGAAGGTGTAAAAGGTGATTCGGTATGCATAGCAAAATTTGTTGGGGTTTGAAGTCAGTGATGGGCTAAATGTGACCCGGTTCCCCATATGACCCGGTTCACCATAAGTTACGTTATGTTATTTTAATAAAATAATTATATAACTGAAAGAAAATCTGTCCTGTCTCGTAGATGAAGGGGCTGGCTCGCTTTGATTTTACTTGTGACTAGACGTTCGCGCGGAAATGATGTAGGTTTGACCTTCAACTTGTAAGCGGCAACGTAAATGACCATTTCAAGGTTAGTCATCCCCATCAACCCGCATGGAGGGGCAATATGAAATTTCTTATCGATGGCGTTATTGCACGATAACAGCTGCTCAGCAAACACCGAAAATAAGAACTTAGGAGTCAATTCGGACGGAGATGGTAAGGAGATATTTCGTTCTTTTATTTTACCTTCATTCATTGTAAGCTGAATATTACATTTGTGCATTTGGCTTTATTTATATTCATCTCTCTTCACATTTCATACTCCATTCCTTTGATCATATCTATCCGATAAGACTATTCCCTTGAATCCCCTGTTACTATCCATCTCATCACATTGAGACAATACCAGAAGGAATTGGGCCGTATTCATTATGACTCCAATATCTCTCCTTACAGCTATTGATTCAACTTCCCACATTCATCTTATTGTTGGGTCCAATCCATTAGCAGGAGCAAGATGTACAAAATCAATCGAAGTAGGGGCAAAACCAATTCTCATTGCGCCCGAATCCGCCCAATTACATTATACATTACAAAAACGAATTGAAAATGGCGAAGCAGAATGGCTAAAGAAATCCTTCGAAGATGATGATGTTATGACCTTGGGAAGAGAAGAAATTGGAAGAGTAGTCGATGCAGTGTTTGTTACATCGGGGCCTCGAGATCCCTTGAGTATGTATAGCTTCCTTGCATGAGAGGTTGCAAAGCTAACATGTTCAGGTGCGCATATCTCTCAACTTTGCAAACGAAATCGCATACCAGTGAATGTAGCAGATGCATCAAATCTCTGCACATTTTCCCTCCTTTCAACACATACCGACGGACCACTTCAAATAGGCGTAACAACCAATGGCAAGGGTTGCAAACTCTCCTCTAGAATCCGTCGCGAAATTGCCTCCTCACTTCCTACAAATTTAGGGGAGTCATGTCTACGACTCGGTACAATTCGCAGACGTATACAAGAAGAAGATCATCTGGCACATCTCACTGCAGCTGGGGACTTGGATAATGAAGAAGAAATAGATCAAAGTGCTACTTTCAATAAACTCATTACGGAAGCAGACCTCGATGCTGCGAAAAATAGACGCATGAGATGGCTTTCCCAAATCTGTGAATATTGGCCTCTTCGTCGATTGGCTTCAATCACGGATTCAGATGTCGAGAGCGTGTTAAAATCATATGCCACCAATCCGTCAACTTCCACGCCGCTCGACACATCAATTCTGGATTCCCGCGTGTCTAAACTCCCACAAATAATTTTGGCTGGTTCAGGACCAGGACACCCCGACCTTCTCACTCGCGCAACTCACAAAGCCATCCTCTCCGCTGACATAATTCTCGCCGACAAACTCGTTCCCTCCGGCGTTCTCGACCTAATCCCCCGTCGAACCCCTATTCACATCGCGCGCAAATTCCCTGGCAATGCCGAACTCGCCCAACAAGAATTATTATCCCTCGGACTAGCTGGTTTGCAGGCCGGCAAAACTGTTTTGCGTTTGAAACAGGGCGATCCATATATATACGGAAGAGGAGGAGAAGAGTTTGAGTTTTTCCGAAAAGAAGGGTATGGAGATCGAGTTGTCGTACTTCCAGGTATCACGAGTGCATTGAGTGCGCCGCTGTTCGCAGGAATACCGGCGACGCAGAGGGCGGTTAGTGATCAAGTACTTATATGTACTGGAACTGGAAGAAAAGGAAAACCTACTGTGCCGCCTCAATATGTAGCTACTCAAACTGTGGTGTTCCTAATGGCACTTCACAGGATTAAGGGGCTAGTAGCTGATCTCACCACTCACGATTCCGAAGATGTAAAGATAGTCGATGAGAACGGGGAAGTCGATCAAAGCAGGAAATTATGGCCGCTAAGCACTCCATGTGCAGTCATAGAACGAGCATCATGTCCGGATCAAAGGGTGGTGAGAACATCTTTAGAATGGGTCGTAGATGCTATTGAAGAAGTGGGTAGTAGACCACCTGGACTCTTGGTACTAGGTGCTGCGTGCGAGGTTTTGTTCAATCAAAATTCTAGAAAAGAGGGGAGGAAATGGGTTACTGAAGAGGGTTTTAAGGGGTTGAATGATTTAGGTTTAGCTGAGATGGGATTAGGGGTTTGTGGTGATGAAGGGGGGAGGCCGGATGTGGTGAGGGGGGATAGTTTCGGAAGGGAATTAAAGGTTTAGATTTTATGGAGAGAGGGAAGATATGATACCATAGTTTAGAAAGCGGATTTGAGTTTATTTTTGTCTATATCCATTAAATTAAACTTCAACGTTTCCTTAATGAAGCTGAGCCCGGGAGGCTATCATCATCGTGCATTTAACCTTCACCCTGTTCCCACTCTTGAAATATGGATTTAACACACAGCTCAGGCCCACTGAGACTAATATCAAGACCCCTTCGGTAAGAATATGCTATATGGGTGCTAAGCACAGCACCAATAGTGTATTCCCATGGCACAATCCGCATTTCCGATCATCATAACCCGCTTGGCATCTTGGGCTGTTTATTCCAGCGCAGAAAGTTCCTTACCATTAACTTTAGCCCACTTTGGAATGCAACCCAAGCATATAACGAAGCTCGAACCGAGTTGTAGCGATGAAGCTGGATCGGGGTTGACTTGCGAGATTTGGGTGTCGGTGTAGGGTGGGCGACTGGGTGAATGGGCCTTTGAAATGAATCTCCGAAATGACATTTCTCTTCTTAAAACAACCTTTGTTCAATTGGGAGGAAGGGTTCCATAACAGCAGTCCGGAATGCTTGACACTCATGGAAACTCGTTCCCAATATCCCTTGCCGCACATGCTTAACCAAATCCCCGAAAATCACTCATCAAAAGACGGCGGCGCAATACTCATCCTCAACTGTCTCTGTCTCTGCTGACTCTGCAACCCCAACCTCTCAACCGCATAACCCAATCTCTCCTTCTTCTGCCTCAAAACCTTCAACCTCATAGCCTTTTCCTCATTTCCTCCTCCTCCTCCATTCCCACTTTTACTCAACCCCAATTCCCAACTCTTCTTGCGACTTAGTTTTGAAGCTTTAGATGGAGGGTTTGTAGTGGAGGAAGTGGAGGATTCGAGACGCCCGGATAGGAGTTGGGAGCGGGCGATTAGTTGTTCTTCTTTTCGTTGGAGGCGGGAGATTAGGGATTCAGAGCGGGAAAGGAGGGTTTCGATTGCGGGTTCGAGTTCTTCGGCTAGGGAACGCTGGGCTGCGTGGAGGGTTGTGGAGGGGGTTAGTTCGAAGTGCTGGGGATTTGGTTAGTTTATGGTTATTTTGGTGGGGATTGGGATTCGGGTGGTTTGTAGATGGGGATGGGGATGGGGATAGGAATGCGGATTGGTCTTTATTGGAAAGAGGAAAGAGGAAAGAGAGACATACCCTAGTAGTACTAAGAACAGATTTTAAACGTGGGAAATCTGATATTCCGGAATCAAGTATGGAGATGCTGTTGTCCAAGGTAGTGAGAGAGGATCGGAGGGAAGCTACGGAGGAGGAAAGAAGTGCAGAAGGACTTTGCGTATTCATTTCCGTAGATATTATGAGTAATATAATTGAGGGTGAGAAATGGAGTGCTAGAGTAGTTAATGGACAGTTTGGGAATGATATACTGCTGTAGATTGAGGTTGTTGATATTTGTGATGGAAAACGCGATGGTTGCTGGGACAGGGATACCGGTATTTACTCCCATGTGAATTTTTGGCGGGGTGGATGAAGGGTCACCGGGAGATGTAAGTCATCAGGGACCGGCGACTACTTATGTGTGGAGTTGCAACTTTCTTTTGACGTGCAAAATAGTAAGCCGTTATTAGAAGTTCACAATGATTTGAACCCATTTTACATTAAGATATAAAGGCAACTATACATTTAGTGGCTACTTGCTTAAACTTCCTACTCATGAACTGCATATCAACGGTCTAGGTTTTACGTAAGCCATTTTTGCAAGCATCCTTATCAGAAAATAATCTCAACAATCTCAACAGTAACATCTCAATTGTCAGCACATTAAACCAGGATATTCAAGATGGCATCAATAGTACCAAGATTCAGATGTCTCAATGCGCCCCCATTGCGACAGACATCAAGAAATATTCTCGCAATTCCTACTGCAACCTCACGATCATTCGCCACTGAAATAGATGTATCCAAGCCGACACCCATCGTAAAACGACGTCCTACATACTTTAAAGACAAGATCAATGCCGTACCCTCGTTTTCGGAGTTTGTCGGTCTGCCAGAGAAAGCTTTCACACCTGAAGATGCACTCGAATTGCGTACCGCGATGGTTGGTCCTCCTGGAAAGAAGAGGCAAATTACAAGATTACCTGAATGGTTAAAGACGCCAATTCCGGACAATTCGAATTACAAAAAGATCAAGAAGGATCTGCGAGGGTTAAATTTACATACTGTATGCGAAGAAGCTCGATGTCCGAATATCTCGGATTGCTGGGGTGGTAGTGATAAAAGTGCTGCGACTGCGACAATTATGTTGATGGGAGATACTTGCACAAGAGGATGTCGATTCTGTAGTGTTAAGACATCTAAAGCACCGCCTCCGTTGGATCCTCACGAACCGGAACATACAGCTGAAGCATTGTCTAGATGGGGTTTGGGATATGTTGTTTTGACATCTGTGGATAGAGATGATCTTGCAGATGGAGGGGCAAGACATTTTGCAGAGACAATCATGAAGATTAAGCAGAAGAAATCTTCAATCTTGGTTGAGGCCTTGACGGGTGACTATGGCGGAGATTTGGAAATGGTGAAATTGGTTGCGGAAAGTGGTTTAGATGTTTATGCGCATAACATGGAGACTACTGAAGAACTTACACCATTTGTTCGGGATAGAAGAGCGAAATACCGACAAAGTTTGAAGGTTTTGGAAGCGGCGAAGAAAGCTAAACCTTCATTAATTACAAAGACAAGTATTATGCTTGGATTGGGAGAAACGGAGGAAGCATTATGGCAAGCATTGAGAGGTATGACATGTTCTCCCGTCGGTTATTTCGTTTAATCATTAACATTTAACTTCCAGATCTCCGAGAAGTCGATGTTGACGTCGTTACTTTCGGTCAATATATGCGCCCTACCAAACGTCATATGAAAGTAGAAGAATATGTTACACCTGAGGTATTTGAGATCTGGCGTCAACGCGCATTAGATCTTGGGTTCTTATATTGTGCCAGTGGACCTTTAGTGAGAAGTTCGTACAAAGCTGGTGAGGCATTCATAGAGAATGTTCTCAAGAAGAGAAAGGGTGTAACTATATTATCTGATGAAGCTACTGGTATGGATAAAGCAATTGTATAATAATGTCTCAATCTTACAATTAATACTTCAACGTATGATAAGATGAGAATGGCGTTTGGGGTATATCATTGGTGGCGGGAAGAAAGGTATAGATGATAATTGCATCTGATTACTAAGTTAGATATTCGTTATATATTATAAATATTTTTTTCAACCATTTTTATTCTTCTCTCTGTTGTAATCCGCATATATTTGGTCAACTCCTTGATATTTTCAATTTTGCAAGAGCGAGACGGAAAATATTCCGGGTCAGATGAATAATTTTGTACTAGGGAGAAAGTACTATCACTAGGAATGTACTCACGATCACAGCAATCATGAAAAAAAAAAACAAAAAAACCTTATAAAATTCTAGTATCCCCCTCCCAATCTCGCGCTCCTATCTTTCACCCGTTTCTCATCCCAACAGCCACAACACACCCAAAAATTCACTGCAGTATCCAAAACCCGAGAAGTATTCTTATGCCTCCCCCCTTCCCTTTTAAGATCTTACCTCGCTTACGCAGCTGCTCTGTACCCTGCCTGACCAATATCCCTTTTTCTTATGGATTTGATGTATGGCTATGGCTATGGCTATAGTGGTGTGGTTAGGGAGATGGTTGAATGGATGGATGGGTTTAGTGGGATAGTGGGATAGTGTATTGATGCTGCGAGTCGGAGTCGGGGTTGAAGCCGAGATAATACTCAGAGGCAGATTTAGACTATGACTGTGACTGTGACTGTGTTGCTGGATATTAGTGGGGATGATGATATTTTGATGGATTGATGCAATTACTTATATTCTTCTTTTTTTTGAAAGGATCGAGTGTGGTGTTGAGATTTGGTTGTAGGAGTATTTATTGCGAAAATGAGAGAGGGCTTGAAATAAAGATTGCAGATATTGCGCTACATTTTCTGCGCAGGGTGCTTGGGTTTTTAGCGCGTGGATATGTGTTCGTGTGGAAGAAAGAGGTAGGAAAATTATTCTATGACTGGAGAATAGTCATAGGTTTGCTACTTTATTAATTAAGTGTACATGCAAGCCCTAATAGCTATGGTATGATTCCAATCTTTGGACACTTAGCAGCCTGGCAATCGAAATAGTTTTCGATGTGCTGATGTTGTTTTTATAAGCGGCATATTTATTCGCACCATTGGAATCATAAAACGGATGTAAAATTATCTGTCGCATTATGAGGTGCTGTTGATTCTTTTGGAAATCTGGTATATCAATATGATGCAGCATTGCTATATCAATATAATCTTAAACAGTCGGTATCCTCGCTTAATAACAAAGGAGAGTGAGTGATTGCTCCCACGCCAAATACTAAACCAAGCCCTCTCTATCGCAAGTTTTCAGGTCACTTGCACACCAGCTATGCTAAAAATCCCAAACACTTTCATACATTGAATATCTATTTGTTGCTTTTAAAACCTGCCTTAGAAGCCACAAAGTTGTAATGAGATGTTGGTATCCAGTCTGCATCACCCTTTAAAAGTTTATTTGACTCTTCATTATTTGTTTCCTATTACTTCTCCATTTTCCTTTGGCCCCTTTTGCTATATTTTCCTGCTTTCTAGCAAATGTGGTGAATGCTAGCGGCTCGGTGTATAAGCTGGTTCGCGTAGAAGGTGAGATATAGTGCGATTCATGGGGATATAAGACTGCCAGCTGGGCTCATCGAGAAGTTGCTTGCAAATACAATAACTCTTTCTGTGCAGTGCTTAATGGATCATTTTCTGATTTACAACTCAAATTCGATGCTCTGGTATTCGTAAAATATTTTCCTTTGCTGCTTGTCCCTTGGGTTCTTCCCGTTAGAGACCGGGGTTTGCTTTGAGATTTTCTCCTGAGCCCTCTGCACCCAATAGGATTTCTAATAGTTTTTGTTTCATATAACTTTGTCTAAAGGGAAATCTACATCATTCTTCAAAATGCTCGCTCCAATATCAACACTAATTCTCATGCCTTTGTTCGGACATTACATCTCAGTTCGAATATCTATTCTTCTCTTCATAATTCTTTGACTTCTCGATAATTTTCCAATTTTGCACCATTGCTTCGTACAGCTTGCTTTTTTGAAGCGAAGAATCCCTTTTGCTGGTTAAGTTTCATATTCAGTTTCGGGATGAAAATCTCGAGTTCGCGTAACATTGCGAAGTATGTCTGGATGTACATATCACGAAAGAACATCCACGAGCTTCACAACTTTGAAGCTGCCTCTGTTTCCGTTGAGAAGCGCTCCAAGATTCGTCGAATGTAAGGCCAAACAGGTTCAACCAAGGAATGGCGCAATTTATCCACGACTACCCACTCAAGAGTCTCAAAACCCTGGCCACGAGCACGATAACTCTCGAGCGCGGTCATAAGTGCTTGAGCCCTTATCAGAGGAACAAAAACATCTTCCTTGCCGTGTAGCATGTGCAATACGGTATTTTTCGCCCAACCTTCAGATAATCCATTTTTTTCTTGCATTTGGGCTATAGTTTCTAGGGGCGTTGCAGAAAACCCTGCCCATGTAATCACAGCTCCCAGATCCGCAGCTCTTCGTCGTGTGAGCAGGAATAAGTACAAAATCGAGGAGCCCTGACTGTCACCCATGAAAATAATCCGGTTTGGAGGTGTACCAGTTGCAGCCTCCGCATCAATGAGAGACTCAAAGTAGTCAAGTGAGACTTCGATATCATGCACATCAGAATTATGCTGTCCGAACTCGTGAATCTTTGAAGGGTCGCCAGCAGAGGGAACGGGTTGGTCAATGTTATACCATGTATGTTTTCCTGGATTCGGCCAATTATTTGGCAACCCTTCCGGGATAATGATCTTGACATGCTGAAGTGAAGGTGACTTGTGGATGTGATGAGCTACAGATTTTCCGTTTGGAGGATGCTGGTTGAATTGGTCGGCAGACCAACCATAGCCGTGTAGGAAGATAAGCGTAGCAGCTTTATCAGGAGTTGTGGTAGCTTTTGGCGGCGAAATGGAAATAGGATGTCGTCGGTGATTTTCTAAGGACATTTTGTTACAATTGAAAATAGAACCGAGTATCGATGCACCCCGCTGTACTTTTAGTCACTTTATTGTTGATGCTAGTATGAAATATGTTATACACTCTTGTAAATATCGAAGCGAGATCACAATATGGTGAGGTATAAAATAATGATAATCGGTTTGGTGAGCTATGAAGTGAAAACTAGGCTATGACAAGGGTCGGGAAGCTAAACTTCAATAGTAAAGCTTATCGATAGCCAGTCGAAAAGAACTATGCAGTGGATAATTCTGACTAATCATGCTTTTGCAATGTAGAGCCATCTCAGGCTCAGGACTGAAAGTCGTGAAACGCCGTCTTTGATTGGTGTCAGCTTGCATAGTGTAACTCACTAATAGGTCAGCATTAGTGGCATTCCCTCTGTGGGACTTTGATTGCGAAACGATTGTGTCGTGCAACAATGTTGCACCACCATCCATTCGAGGCCAGGAGATAGTGCTACTCTGTCATCACCTTATAGTTCTATGTGCCAACTGTCTTTCAAAACGGCGGCCTGCCGCCTTGTAGTATGAAAACATTTCGAGGACTTTTCTTTGAGAATTAATGCTCTGGGTAGCGATGGTCCCAGGGGTAGAACACATCATCCAAAGGAGAGATCGTATGGCTGTTTGCCACAGAAATTAAGCGAGCTGTAATTATGTTAAGGTAAATGATGAGCACTAGAAGGTCATATTCACTTCAAAGGTAAGGATATCATAGGTACCTCACAGTCTTATCTTCCTTACTGTTGATTTTTAAACAACTTTGGTAATTTGTCAATGTACAGTTTAGAATCTGTTCAACAGTGATGCTTTAGTTTGAGACATGTTTACTCCAATCACACCAGAATCGTGCCTTCAATCATTATTAATTCCCCAGAGACACACTCGGTTCCAGGTAATTGCATATCGTCTCACTCCATAAAATGCTTTTAAGCGATGTCATTATGCTAAAACTATTCTAATTGTGCTTCCAAACATTGATCTACCATCTATTGTCAATACTCACGTACATACCAACCAAATTTAATCCCGATTTGTCGGCAATATTTTATGCGAGATATGTTAGGACATTGAGATATCAAAGTCCATAATATCTATAAAGCAGTGCTAAGAGAAAGCTAACATGGATGAAGACGAGAAAGATTCCGCAATGATTCTGCGGCGAAAGAAAATTATCATCGAAATCAGTATCAACACTGCTTCTCAATGGTATATATAAACAACGATGCATAGCTAAGGAACGTAATGGGTAGAGATAAAGGAATATGACGGGCGTCTCTTTTGAACACTAATAGCTCTAAACGGTACACGGTCATGGAGGGAGGAATTACTTCGTAGATTTGCACAATCAAAGACTTACAAAATAGAATACACAAAATATCATAACTAGGAAATTTTACTTTTGCACCTCAGTAATACCAAAATGCTAGAATGTGAAAGATGTTGAGAAGTAAACCCATTATATATAAACGTCGAAGTGTGCTTGCTACTCAACTCTTTACAGCTCCGACACCCTCGATCTACACCATGCTACTGCCTCACAAACAACAGATTAATAGCAACACACCGCGGCTCTTTCCAGGTATTCACCATTCTCTTGTACCGTCAGAATATGCTGAAGGTTCTTTAATGTCCATAACACATTTGTAAACCGATTATTAAATCGGAAAACCCGGAATCCAGCTCGGATTTCGCAGATGTGGGATAAGAACTCAAGCGAACTGACTAATATGGTGGCATTATGTTTCTTTGCAATCGAGAAGAATCTAGCGTGCACTTGTGTAGATGTCGGACGGGCTTTGCAACACGCATAAATTTTATGACAGTTTCGATGCCGGAGATGGATATACGAAGATGGAAATCATTTGGAGTTTAGACAAGGACTGCGGTTGGTAATAGAGAGTATAAGAAAAGAGAGAAAGGTGAGGAACGATGAATGGTCGACGAAGAAGTTGCAAGGCAGAATCTATGATAACAATGGAGACTGTTGGTTCTATGATGCTGCAGTCGTTGCTTGCGAGTATTGGAAATGTTGGGGAGGTAGAACAATACTCCATACTCCGTAGAGATACGACTTATCCGATCAATACCACAACTACCAACCTATCTACCTATTTTCCACACCAAAGCCCTCTATGCACCCAAACGAAAGCCAATATAGAATTCCCGAAGTTTTACCAACCTGACTAAGGCAGGCCAACCCACCCAACGAATCAACAACCACCGGCTATCATCGCATCACACACCCCGCGCGCATCTACGAAACTCCGACGGCCATTCCAACCGGCTAAGTATATAACCGTACCAATCTATCTCCAAGCGTGTGAATTACTAGCAAGTAAGTTTTAAACATCGATGCCGTTGAGTACTAATGATATTCTGCGTTATACGATACATTTTTTTGTAATGTGATGGGTTTCTTAAGTTTTTATCCCCTTAGAAAGTAGTACTTTCTAAAGAGGAAAAGAGGAATTCCAAGATATGATGTGGATCTGGGCATGGGATACGCAGCACTGGCCATGTAACTTGCCGGTCTCAATTTCTTAATTCTTAATTGTTGATGATAGTTTGGGACTTTTTGTTTGATTATTTTACTTTACTGGTTTCCCATACATATCCTTATCTATCTACCTACCTAAGACCGATGTTCTTTTAGTTGATCGGACTTGAGCTTTTCTTTTTCGTCGTATTGCACTGCATTATTTTTTGGTTGGCAGTTGTGTCATATGCGTTTCATACTCAGTAATTTATGTTGATATTGATATTATATTGCCATTTCAATTTTGTTTCATTTTCCCCCTCAATATAAAACTCTTTCATCTACACGAGCAAGCAAAAAGACAATCTGATTATCATGTCTTTTAAACCAGCAATTGCAAGCATGTCCCTCGGACGCTGTTACGCAGGTCATAGTCTCGAAACAAAATTCAAAGCCGCTAGAGATGCTGGTCTCTCCGGCATTGAAATGTGTAAGAACACTACCTACCCTCTTCACCATCAGCAAAACTAAACCGATCAATAGTCTATGAAGATCTAGCCGACCTAGCCTCTACACTCCCATCTCACCCATCCCCATCCTCTCACATCCACGCCGCGCAATATATTCGCTCCCTCTCCTCATACTATGCCCTCCCCATCATAGCCTGCGGACCCTTCTTCTGCGAAGAAGGACTTCTTTCCCCTTCAGCTTGGAAATCTAAACTTCAAGACCTGCGTCTCTGGTTCCAAGTTTGTCGTATCCTAGGTACAGACATCATCCAAATCCCTTCTACATTTTCCAGCGCATCCACCACCAACCCACCCTCCCTTTCAAAAATGATCACCGATCTCCGCGAAATAGCCGATCTAGGCGCAGCCCAAAAACCACCTTTCAGATTCGCTTTTGAAAATTTATGTTTCGGGTCGTATATTGATACGTGGAGCGGGGCGTGGGAAATTGTAAAAGGCGTAGATAGGGAGAACTTCGGCTTATGTCTCGATACATTCAACATCTGCGGACGGGAATATGCAGATCCAGCTTCACCTAGTGGTACGGTATCGAATGCACACGTTACATTTAGACAGAGTATGGAGAAGATGGTACGAACTATTGATCCGAAGAAAGTATTCTATATCCAAATTGTCGATGCAGAACGTCTAGCGAGACCACTGATTGAAGGACATGAATTTTATTCCGAGGGAATGAAAGCACGGATGTCGTGGAGTAGGAATTGTAGGTTATTTTTGGGTGAACAGGATAGAGGGGGATATTTGCCCGTGATGGATGTGGTGAGTGCTATTTGTGATGGGTTGGGATATAGGGGATGGGTGAGTTTCGAATTATTTAATCGGAGTTTGGTGGAGAGGGGCGATTATGTGCCGATGGAACATGCTGAGAGGGCGGTGAGGAGCTGGGGATATGTTTGTGGGGAGATGGGGTGGGAGAATGTGTGTGCTAATGTCAATGAGAAGAGGGCCGAGAAGGAGAGGAGAGGAGAGATAGGGAGTGAGGTTATGGCTCGATTGTAAGTTTTGGATGTTTTGGATATGGTATTAGGATGATGATATGCATCTACATGGCGTTCGTGAGGACAAGGATATTTTTACATCATGGCGCATAGCATAAATGTTGCGGTTATACGGTCTTTTATATGTATGTATTGGATATACCGCTAGGAATTCTTCCACTATTAACATTGCACTTATGCATTTATTTGTACACAATCATACAATCTCTTCAAAGCTTCCTCTTCCAAAACGAAGACGCATCAGCCATTCCCACCAGAATTCCTTCTTTGCTCCTCGGCGGCACTTAATGATTGTAGTATCTGTCCAGCCTCAATTCCTTCATCCCCATGTGCAAAATCTATGCCTCTTCCGAATCCCGCATCACCGGGCATATTCATTCCTGTGTTTCCAAACACTTGAGCACTGATTCCTGACTGGTTTACCGCAGAGCTCGCTAATAATTGCTGCAACGTACTATTGTTCGAATAGAGGGGATCAGGTTCCCGACAAAAGGTATAGAAGTCCTGGTTTCGGTTATCCGGATCCTCAAATCCGAGATTTACTAGACTTTGATCCATACTATTCGTCCTAGGTGTCTGTTAGCATTGAACTTGATTTACTAGACATAATCCCCCATGGTGAGTAACATACCATTCCATTGCATCCATGACAGCAAAATCGTTAAATATCGCATCACCATCAGTATCCAAACTATTTTGTGCTGTCGCTCGGTGAAAGTTTGGTGATTGTTGCAGCAATCCAAAGGGCATTTGATTAATGGTTCTATTTTGGTTCTTATTTTGCTGGTGAGCACTCCAGGCATTTAGATTAGGGGTGTTCCCATGAGGACTCTCCGGAATTCTAGGAAAATTTTCTACCACAGAGCCATTGAAAGAGTGGTTGGACTGCATCATCGAAGAGTCAGTGAGTGCATGTTGAGGAAGACTTGAGGAATGTGAGGACCAAAGTATTATGTGAAGTGGAAAATCAAGGTTTCTAATGATCTTGGTTACGGTTCAATCCTCAAGACTTCAATGTTCGAAACAATTCTGACTACCTTAATAAATCCATTGTGGTAATGCAGCGCTAGCTAGCGGAATCGAAATTCCGGAAAAGATGCACAAGTAAAAACATGGAATTGAGTAATTGAGAGTACAATTTCAAGGAACAATCAAACTTACGTGTGATGTAGGCGGCATGAGGTTCTTCGCATACTGCAGATTACTTCTGTTAGGCCGTGCTACGCCCATACTATTCATTGACTGGGATCGGAAGACTTGAGGACTGTAGGGCTGGCTTATTTCGTAACTGGCTGTACTATTTGGCGTCTTGATCGATTGAGTTGTTTCCGCGGCGGCTGGAACCATAAGATCAAATGCGGCTTGGCTTTCACGTCGATTTTTTAAAAGGACATTTTCAGAAGCATCTTTAAAAGATTCAAATACTGGCCAAGCTGGTTCCATCGCAGAAACGCACATATCTAAATTATATTTCCAATCGTCAAGAACTAGATTTTAGTGAGTCAGTCATGCATTAATATTAATCGCAATAATCGAAGACACTTGTACATCAAGGAAGACTTGCACATTGAATGTAAAATAAACATCGGGGAGGGCAGGAAAGAATCTTCCACTCACCAATATGTGTGTTTTCTATACTTCGTCGGACTGCATGGACAACGTCATATGCTTTCTTAGTGTAATATTCGAATGTGGGTGGGACAATAAGAAGTCCAAATGTATGTGAGTGCCGCTTTAGAAGGTGGACAATTTGACGTGCCGATCTCGTACAAGGTTCTAAATCAAGGCTTCCCTTTGGTTGACCATGGGATAGAAGTTGGCATTCGGCAAGCGTTGTAAAATATGCAACATGGAGATGATAATGATGCGGCAGCAAGGCGGAAGTTTGCTCGTTGTTCATTGCGATAGAATCGGAATGCAAAGGCTGAGGTTGGGACTGACTCCATACATGTAACCTTTCCAACAAGCCGGTGCTGAATTTGACGCTTTTCGAACTATCAGCTGCACAACTTGCATCATTCAGTATTTGGAGAACTTGGACTAAGCGGTTGAAGGTACTCAGAATAGATGCAGGAACTCTAGAGTTTCCAACGGCATTTCTTCGGACAGTGAGACAGTCCGTCCAGGGATCCCATTCCTCGAGTCCATCTTCAACCAACATACCAACATGGTCCATATCGTCTGACCTCAAATGCGGTCGTCTTCGTAAACGTGCTGCAACCAAGGTATCTAGCGCAAAACACCCAAGAAATACATGCTTAGATCTCGAACTATGCTTTGGGGGTTTTGGGTCCTCAGACAATGGTTTCTCCAGACCAAGATCAATTGCAATCCTGACAGCTTGTCCAATAAGGATCCATGCCCTGTTGAAATGCCCAAGCCCAAGATTCGTGAGGGTTAAGATTAATAGAGCCTGCACATGGCCAAGATCAAAACTTCCTTCTTCATTCGGAATAAGAGCTCTTGCGTGCGTATACATTCTTTCAGCCGTCCATACATCTTGTGATACCAACCCTTGAGCATGAGGTATGTTGTTTATTGCTCTATGTTGAAACTTGGCATAAGCTATTGCAGCCCATAAAAGTGCGTGGTCACCACTAACAGTCTCCGCTCCATTGGTCCTAATTTGAGAATATTGATATGAGATTCTTAACAAATCGTGCTTTTCTATAACTGGCAGCCAGCAATGCGTATAAGAAAAATATACATCAAGTAGATGCCAAGTCTCCGATGGAAGCTCTGGCAGGTTCGTCTTGCTACCACTTGAGACTGTTGGATAAGCAGGACTGAGTATTGAGCCATAATGTGCGTTAGAGAAGTTTTCCATAGAGCTTCCGGCGGCCATAGGTGACAAAGCTTCCTCTTGTATCTGAAAATCCGATTTCTGGTCGGGCCAGCCACTTATCGATGTCCTTGTTTGAGATTCATTGTCCGGAACAGATATGGGAGAATCTGACTGGCCAACTACTAGCACAGGTCGCTTCCCTAGTTGAACATCGGAATCGAGCCGTTTTCTCTTAGTGATATCAGCACTACCAGACCCTGGTTCTAATATTGGTAGTAATCTCTCAAGCTCTCTCGACAATTGAGATTTCCTCCATACTTCGGCCAGACTGTCCGATTGTCCATCCTCATTTCTCCAAATACTAATAAGTGCCTCGTTTTTCTCGTCCCCCTTAAACATTGGGAAGTCAGTAAGTGGCGAATATCCCGTGGCTTTACAAAGTCCCGAGGGAATAGGGACGCTTCTGTTACTACAATTCCCTTGAAGATTTGAATTCGCCCACGACCAGAGCGTATAATATAAAATGGATATCTGGAGCCTAGAATGAAAGGACTGATTATGCTCACATTAAATACCGAGAGGATTTCTTCCTCGACGCCTTCAACTTCTCTTATCGTTAGGCCCCATAATTTCTCTATCCCACGGACATATCCTAAAGACCATAATCAGTAATTGGTTATCAAAAGGGACGCAGAGGCTGAAACAGTGAAACATATTCAAACACTCCGACACTCCAAAGGTTCAAATACATTCAACTATTCAAACCAATTCGGATATTTAAGCCAATCCAGACATTCAAATACATCCGGACGTCGATATACATTCGAACATGCAAATAGTTCGACATTCGGACAGAAGTGAAAATTCATGCAGGACTAGTGACCAAAAGCGAACCAAATATACGCACCTTCCGGTAATCCACGTTTCTTCACATTCGCGTCGTATGAGCAAGTCCGACCGTGGGTCAAACAAGTTGAGCACGATGGCCGTTTTCCGTCGCATTTGTCTTTGCGACTCCGGCACTTATCGCAAGCCTGAGAAACTCGTTTTCGTTTGCCCTGCAACTGCTCCTTGAAGCCCCCTGGTACAGCCATGGCGTCCTTCTTGTTGTTCGATGATGCTTCTCCGGACTTCGAGCTGCCGGGAAAAACTTCATGCTCCATTATTACAATGGATAATGGACAACAAGGGACGATGCCCGCTTCAGCCTAAGATACCTTCGCAAGCAAAGCACATGTCTGTCGCTCACTTAGTCGTGCCTATTTCGACTAAGAGGAGAATTGTTAGCTTCGTGGGCAAATCAGAAGGATCGTCGTTCGCGCGTCGAGGTTGTTGACCAGTTCGGTGGGTATTCTTCTCCTGCAAAAGCTATCAATAGTTTGACTCGAATGCGGCAGTGAAGCTGATTTGCAGTAACGCGATGCATCTAGTGCAATTGGATGTCTTGAAGTCGTTGTTCCTTCCCCATACAAAATTTGACGTAAATCCGAATTTCCAAATTCATCATCGACACTTTTCCCCATACCCCACAGACAGCCATGACCACGGAAAAAGTCTTATCCAGAGATGCTGAGTAATCACCGCCTTTCCATCGTTCATTGGTCGTCTCGCGGTGTGAGTGGTCGAAGGGTCCAATGATCGGCATTTAAGTACCTGGTGATGATTGTAAAGATAGAACTTGTTTGTCTTGATGCCCCTTCCAAAAATAGGATGAAGAAAGTATACGTACGTACTCCGTATTCGCATATACGCAACTCCGTGGATTGAGAAGCGCTTTCCTACACTTCCTCTTGCTTCTGTTCGCATCTTGCTTGTTCCTATTTATCCTCCGAAAAGGTTGAGAAAAGTTAAAAGTTGTCGGTTGTAGCAACCTAAGGTTATTCATCTTTGAGTTTACGATCACGTGCACGCCGAAGAAAAGAAACCAAGAATGCGACCGGAAGGATGTCTCTAACAACTCAAACCATCTCAAACAATGGAACCATGGAGAGGGCCTTGCAGTTGAAGTCAGAAGTGCAGAAAACAGGTCGAATATTCCCTTCAGATGCGTCAATCATTCTCATAGGCTCTCGAGGGTCAGGAAAACGGAGTCTGGGTTTCATTGGAGCAACTCATCTGGGTCGACGATTAATAACAGAGGATCATTTCTTTCAAGAGGTCACCGGCCTTTCTCGAGCCGCTTATGTTCAGCAGAATGGAATCCATGAATTTCACAAGAGAAATGTCGATGTTGCGAGGCAAATGCTATATGCAAACCGAACGGGATGCATTATTGAATGTGGAATGGCAAGTCTCGCAACTGAAGTACAAAAGACTCTGTAAGCATGAACTTTTCGTATATTTGAATGGCTGAACCCACTGATGTCACTGAATCTGTTTGGATTTCCGCCTTTGAAGTTTCTTCGAGAATCCCCTTCGGACGCTTCACTAACTTTATCGGCCTTGTAGTCGAGAATATACAAAAACGAATCCCGTGATTTATATCTTACGAAACAGCCAAAGAATTCGAGAGATGCTGAACATTGGAGATTTCGAAGCAGCACGTTACGAGAATGCCGATGCTGCTCATAGATTTTGTTCAAATTATGAGTATTATAATTTGCATGACAGAAGTTGTGATGGAATGGCGAGTCCTAAGGATCAAGGACTTCCCAATGTTTCATCAAAATTGAAACATGCAAAAGAAGACTTTTCTGCATTTCTTGATTTCATCACGGGACAAGGAGTCATTCGTAATAGTTTGGAAAGTCCATTCTCCATTGCCGCTCTACCACCCGAATGCAGGCTGTACACTTATGCCTTGTCTATTCGCATGTCAACAATCCCCGATCTGGACCTTCAAGAATTGGAATCTGGGGCCGATGCGGTTCAAATCAAGGTTGATGCTCTACGGACCCCTGATATCCAAAGAGGATTAGCGAAACAAGTTTCAACGGTAAGAAGGGAGCTTGGAGTACCCGTCATTCTCCATGCTGAAGAGTATGCATTTGAAGGTCTCTCTTTGTCAATGTCAGAGAAAGAAGATATTTATTTTGCATTACTAGAGCATGGGTTACGTCTGGGAGTTGAATACATTGTTGTCGATCTTAGATATCCATCCGATCGTGTAATGCACCTTGTTCAGTCTTCCGGGCGCACGAAAATTATCGGGCACTATCTTCACCGCGCTGAAACCTCTCGGGGATGGGATGATGAGTCTATGATGATAGAGTATCGAAGAGCCGAGTCGTTAGGTTGTGATATGGTCCGGTTTGCTCGAGCAACCTCAAAGGAAAGTGACAATGCAGCTGTTCGAGAGTTTTTGAGAAAAATAGAATCTATTCCAGGACATCTTCCAGTCATTGCCTACAACCTCGGGGATCATGGAAGGGGTTCTTTAATTGAAAATCGGATTTTCACACCAGTGACTCATCCTATTATGAAATCCACAGTCAGCAAGAGTCAAATCAGACAGTTTCTACCAACAGCCGCAGAGGCACGACAAGAACTATTCCGAAAGTCTGTTCTCGACCCGCTCCATTTCGTACATCTTGGAGCTAGTGTATCTTATAGTTTATCCCCGGTCATGCACAACACAGCTTACAAAGTTTGTGGTATGACCAATGACTTTCAATCACTGCAAGTTAATTCTGTTGATGACATTCATGCCATTTGTCAGCGACCCGACTTTGGCGGTGCTGCGATCACACAACCTTTTAAAGTCCAAATCATGTCCCGAATTGGTCCACAGAGCTACCATGCAAGAGCAATTGGGGCAGTAAATACTCTTCTGCCACTTCGAGCATTACCGGATGGCAGTCCTCTTTCTGGTAATACGCAATCGTTGCTTCAACAAGCAAATCGCCGAAGCAAGACTGGACCTGTTATTGCTTACTATGGTGACAACACTGATTTCATTGGTATAATGACATGCCTTCGCCGAAACATATCACCACGAAACGTCGTTCAGCCATCCAAAACAACAGGACTAGTCATCGGCGCAGGGGGTATGGCACGAGCAGCCGTGTATGCCATGATCCAACTCGGATGTCGCAAGATCTTCATATATAATCGTACGATAGAGAATGCACAGAGAGTCGCCAATCATTTTAACTCATGGGCTATGTGCTTGAGTAATCATGGAAAAATTGTATATGTGTTGCAATCACTACGGGAGGAGTGGCCACAGGGCTTTAGCCCACCCACTATGATTGTTTCATGCGTACCAGCACGAAGTGTGGGCGACCGACCGCCAGCAAATTTCACGATGCCTGTACAATGGCTGGGTAGTGCTACCGGTGGAGTTGTTGTAGAGGTATGTTTCCAGTTCTTTTCTTCCGCTTTTCACTATCCGTACTGGGCACATTGTTCAAGTGATTTTCGTCTTTTTGTCAAGAAATTTGTTCAAGCGGAATACAATATTTGTGCTCAGCATGCTGCTTAATCAAGTCAGTCTAGATTAATCCCCCAGATGAATGTAATGCTTTATAGCGCGATGTATTTGTTGTATGGAAAACATTGCCCAAAAACTTGCATGCTTCGCGTCGCTCTCTTTATTCATTCAATTTATTCTATTCTCAAGAAAAATAACTAACATTTTCTCCTCCAACAGCTCTCTTACAAACCTCCACTCACCACCCCTCTTCTTGCCCAAATCCGACAATTCCGATGCCAGACCAAAATCGCCTGGGTAATAGTTGATGGTCTCGAAGTCCTCCCTGAACAAGCCATCGCCCAATTCGAGTTAATGACCGGTGTTAAAGCGCCCAAACGGCGTATGAGAATGGAGGTTTATTCAAATTATCATAAATATGGGGAAGAAGAGTCTAGTGTATAGGCAGATGATGATTTCCCTCCAGTATTCGCCTAGACTGTGGTTGATGGCTGGACATGGCATTGGTACTCGACCCGTGCGATTAGAAAGTCTCGAAGACGGGAACTCTAAGGACGCGCCATACATTAGAATCAGAAGAGAGATTAACATTTCTTAGCTCTCGAAGCTTATCTTTTGTAGTGGCAGGAATAGGTTAGGATAGCCATAAATAAGGTGAGGGAGTATACTTCAGAGTTATGATATGAGATGAGATTGTGTAGTTTTAGCGTGGTGTTTGTTCTACTAGGTTATATTATTTATTCATATTTAGAAACTCGGAGTCTGTGGAGGAAAGAGGAAAGGAAAGGAATGTAGGATCACCATGAAGTAATAACATCCGATGAGAATTAGCATCTAGGATGGGGGTGGATAGGAAAAGATAGGACAGGATAGGGTAGGATAGCATAAGGATAATAAACTCATACTCAAGGGATGTGAAATGTATAGCATTTTATATTGTTTAATTTTTAACTTTTACTTCTTATGTCTTGATAGATAATGATTATTGATATTAACCTTACAATGTTATTATCTTAAAATGAATAAAAAGAGACTCTTGAAATTGTGTGGGAAATGGATAATAGATGATTTAAAGTAAGTCTAATACCCTACTTCTAGACCACCCTTAATATAGATCACTTTTTTATATCAAAAATCATGATTTTGATCTATTGATCATTCAATAATTACTCAATCGAATCAATTAAAATTTTAATTATAAAATCATTTTATGATTATAAATAGATTCTGGAAATTTCAGATTTTTCGCAATTTTGTTGATCGAGAAATTGAAAATTGAAATTACGATTTTCAATTTGTATAGGATTTATATACAAATGTCACGATTCACCATTAGGATTAGTGTCTTGGGATGAAAAGTAATCACGTGATAAGGAGCCCCAGGAGCCCTGAGAAGCTAGAAAGCTCCTAGAGGCTCCCTTTATCGTTCATTATATAATCAGAGTAGTTTCATAGTTTAGGAGCTTTGTGCTCAACTTAGTTATCAATTAGTTTACCTACATTCTATTTGATCTAGTAACGACTTCACTTCCAAATGAATACCAGTGATAAAGCCTTAACCCATAACTACCAACCAGACGAAACCTTAGGCAGCCGCTGCCTCCAGTACAGTATCGTTACACTTATATCAAGGGGCGATCCAAAAGTAGGGTACTAGACTTAGATATCTAGAACTAGAACTAGAATATTTCATGATATTTTATTCGAAACTCGAAACTGTGAAGCTTCATGGCTTTTTAAGTATTCGCAGCTACTTGTTATTATTGTGGAGTAATTCTGTATTCGTTTAGTTTATTCGTTTTCCTATTGCTTCATAATCTTACATTGGCTTGGATTGGGTCCTTGTGTCGATTAACCATCAAACGGATATCTAGATATCAAAAAAATGACATGGTGATCATCACCAAATCATTGATAAAATCTTCTTCTAAATCGAAATAAGAAAAATTCTTCTCTGTATCCTCATACTCGTAAATTCATTTCATGAGTCATGAATCATGACACATCTACATATCACATCATACATACATGACAAAAGATCCAAACAATAACCCTAGATATGCGCATGTATCTATTTATTCCCCAAAGCGAAGCCCGCCTCCAAATTCGCACGTTTGAATCGAAAAAAGATTCTCCAAACATGTAGTGAATTTTCCCATTTTCCCTCTCTAATTATAAAACAAGTCGCATCTTAACATCTTTGAAGTTAAACAACCTCAACATGTGCACTCTTCTCATTTCCTTCTTTATCCAATCCAATTCCACTTCCCTCTACATTCCTCCTAAACGCTTCTTCGTCATCTTTCAACTCTTTTAATACAATACCATGCGCATGTCTCGCCTTTAACTCAGAGCTGAAAAGTCGATCCATACTCTCCAATGGGATACTCTTCGTTTCTGGAACTAAGAAATATACAAAAACGATACTGCATATCATTAAGGATGCAAAGAAGATAAAGACACCATATCCCATTGCCTCGAACATTTGCGCCGTGAAGCGCGCAACGAGGAAGTTGAAAAACCAATTACTAGCTGCTGCGAATGCTTGGCCGAGCGTACGGACATTCTGGGGAAACATTTCCGAGTTGATGACCCAGGGTGTACCGTTCCATGAAGGTGTGTAGGAAGCCGTCCATAGGTAAAAGAATGCCATGGCGGATTTTCCGCCCGCAGTAAGGGAGGTAGTGGGGTGTGAAGAGGGATCTGCAACGGCGATGTAGGCTCCAACATAATAAAGACAGATGGCTCCAGCGAAGGCACCGTACATGAGGAGATTTCTACGACCGAAGTTATCGATGAGGAAAAAGAGCCATATGATGGTGACGACTGCCTTGATTACACCGAAGATACCAGTGGTGAGAAGAGAACTGTTTGTGCCGACAACACCGATTTCCTTGAAGACGGTAGGGGAGTAGTAGTTGATGGCGTTGATTCCGGATGTGTTTTGCCAGAAGAAAAGCGAACAGCCGAGAGCGAAACGATACATGACTTTGCGGTCGTTACCGAGGGCTTTGAAGGGTTGCCAAAAGCCGAGTCCGACGGTGGCCTGTTGTTGTTCGAGAGCAGCATCAATGCTGGATACTTCTTCGAGCATGTAAATATCGTCTTGAGGAAGTTTTCTGATCCAGCAGAGGTTTTTGAGTGCTGTGGCTCTATCACCGCGGCTCATGAGCCATCTAGGAGATTCTTTGATGAGAAAGAGTCCGGCGAACATGAGACCAGCTGGGATAAGTTGAATAGCGAATGGAATAATCCATTGCTCGTGGTTCGCAGGCATAGTGGTAGAAACTCCATACTGTCAATTTGTTAATAAACTAGGAGGTTGAAAATCGTCAGTGTGTAGGACTTACGTTAATCCAAAACCCAACAACACCACCAACTTGCCATCCCATCTCATATAGTCCAACCAAGCGTCCTCGAATAGCCGGAGGTGCAAGTTCGGAAATATAGATAGGAGTCAAATTTGAAGCACCACCAACACCAATACCAGCCAATACTCTGCCACCATAAATCAATCCAAGACCTCTATCTCCATTCGCACCTAACATCAATCCAGCGCCAAGAATGAAAATTCCAGAGAAGAGTTGAAGGCCTACTTTTCGACCCAGGTAGTGACCAGCTGCATAAGCACCAAGAGCTCCAAAGAATGCACCAGCCTGATACAATGAAACGATGTTTTCCGAGATAAGTAAGGCTTCATCAGTTGAATATTTGGACCAATTGAATTCGTCTTTGAAAGAGGTGAGAGCGATTGTTCCTCCAATGAATGCAGAATCATATCCAATCATTACTGCACAGAAGGCGGCTCTGTGTAATGATTAGCTTGATGAATTTGTGTATATTAGACGCGACCACTTACACTGTTGCGCAGAAGTATACGCGAGCGTTGTAGACACATGGCGGTGTAGGCCGATCTGAAGAATGTCAATGTCTATTGTTTTGAAACAACCTCGATAAAATAAACTTATCATACCTTCTACCAAAGTCAACAGACCCATCCTGGAGAAATTTCTAATTCAATTCCCCCTGTTTTGAGTTGTTGACCTCTTGCAAATTCCTTGGCGGCGTGAAGAAAAATTCTTCAAAATAATGTGAGTCACGAGCAATAAGCTTCAACCCTTGGACCCGCACAAACAGTGTAATAAAAAAAAAAATCGTAACTTCAGATACTATCGCCAAAGCCCACTGGACACAAGTGGCTATGAGAAGATGTATATGAAATGAGGTAGAAGAGGAAGATGATGAGATGAAAAGGACAACTCGTAACGGAGCACCATTTTATAAGTGGAAAATCCCATTGATACAGTGGATCTCACAATTATTTGACGGGAATCCACTGCCTTCACTTGAAAGGGTACGCTTACGGGTCGGTTTTCCGGGGCGGACAGGGAACTCCAGTATGTAATCTGGGGTAAAAGATTCATGTCATTTTGGCGTGTCTCTGGCAAGTTTGTGATATTTCGTGCGCGGGCGAACATTATGCTTGCCAACGCTGATGTCAAAGTACAAAGTTGCTTGGTTTTCGGTGTTAGTGGGGTAGCATAGGTGGCACAAGGGAGGAACAAGGGCTTAGTTTGTACTCCGTATCTAGATAGCCATGGGCAGAAAGGGGAGGAAGATTTGGTGCGTCAACGACTCAACGCGGGAATTTGAAGGTCATCCATCATGCACTAATGAGAGGAATTTGCTTGGCTTATTGAAATCTTACTAGATTGATTTTAGTATGGATTATTGTCCTAGATAAAAGAAGTTAATGTGGAGCGAATGAAAGTATGTGGGAAAGTGTGGAGGCCCAGAGAGTGTGGAAAAGGAGGGGAAAAACCTTTTCCATCCGTATAACAAAACGCAAAACGTGCTGTTGGAATTTGGTCGCTGTTCTAGTATGCAAATGGAAAGGACCATAGTTACCGGTATAGCTCTCCATATGGGGAATCAGCGGGGAAACTCAACCTCCGTACTAAGAATGAAGAAAGTATACCGAAGATTAGTAACCCAGCATAAATATCAATAAATATGGTTGAGCAATGACGACTATGTGCTGCAACTTGCACTCCTGAGAGCCAATTTCTGTTGCTCATTCTCGTTTGTCGATATCTATCCAGATTCCACCGTGATCTTGACTCCAAAAACATTTATCCGAAGTTCATGAACTATCTTTTTCCCATGCTTTCCGATTTCTTGTCATGGGTTCGCTCTCCTGAAGCTAACACCGCCTATTCCAAAAGATCGACGCCAGCCTCTTCTTTCTTCGCCATACCGAACTAGCTTTTCACAAAACCCTGAGATACTCGTGGTGGAGTTGTCGAATTACTTCGGGTACACTAATCTTAAATAAGTAACATCTCAACGAAATGTACCCAGTCCGTCGCTTAACACGCCAGGACAAGGGGTATCTAGGAAATGATTGGTTCAAGCGAGTCTAGCCTTAAACCCCACGTCTGTGGGATCTTTCGCAAGTTTCTTTATCCGTGGGTTTTAAATGAAAAATAGGGCTCTTAGTCCTGAAATGAGATCTCATCTGCGGGAAGCATGAAATTGTGCATTTGTATGTACGAAGTATGAATTTTGCTTGGAATCTGCTTTATATTTTTCCGACTTTGTGACGCACGGCACGTATGGATTTTCCGCACTGAGAAGGCTGAGCAAAAAGAGCATCTGACAAGTTCAGACGTACCAAATTGGATACGACCCCATTAGCTGGAGTAAGTATGAAGTTTTACTAAACTCCTCACGGACTAATATCATTAGACCCCGAGACTTGGCTTTTAGAGAAGATCATCCTTTCCCCATTGACTTTTTGTTTGATCTTTCCTCCTTCTTCCATAGTAAGACTTCTTCACGATAATCAAAAGCTTCATTCTCCTCGGTTACTCCTCGAAATATATTTGCCGGTTCTCATCCTAAGCCCTCCAAACTATAATCTACTGTAGCCTTAACCATATCACAACTCGTTTCTTTCGGGACATACGATTCGAGTTGCAATCATCAACTGAACATTGGAATCTACCTGTAGCTATGTCACAAACAATCATGAGCACTTCAGACGCCACCATTTCCTCCACAACGATGGAAACCCCTCCTCCAGATATTTCAAACTTGGATCGTGTCGCGTATCTGTTTGGATACCCCATTGCTCATTCTCTATCTCCTCTTTGTGAGTTTTGCATTCTGAGTCTTTCCATCATATCATAACTTTCATATGTGTTATCGTCCGACATGACTTTTATGAGCGCAGGCCCCTAAGCCCTCATACCTTGCTGTGCTCGAAGGTGCATTCAGCATCAATTCGAGCCTCTTGTATCCTTCATCCACACATACAGCTTCCACAATGACCTCTTCTTTGAAAGCTTTGGCTAACCGCATTTTCACCACCAGTTCACGGCACAATTTTCGAGTCTCTAGCACTCAATTACCTCCAACATTTATATGAAACTCGAACCCTCACAGATTGCCTCGAGCTCACCAAAAACCCCAAATTTCTCGGCGCTTCCGTAACCATGCCCTTCAAAGTAGCCATCATTCCATACCTCGACCAACTTTCTCCTGAAGGCGCTGCCATTGGCGCCATAAATACTATCTACCACCGTATATCTGCATCAGGGGAAAAGATCCTATGCGGAACGAACACCGATTGTATAGGAATCCGCGAAGCTCTCCTTCAAAACGCAACACCATCAACGATATCAAATATAAAAGGGTCAGCAGGCATGATTATTGGAGGTGGGGGAACCTGCCGCGCAGCCGTCTATGCACTGAAGAAATTCCTCGGTTGTGAAACTATATATATGGTCAATCGGGATAAATCCGAATGCGATGCCGTAATTGCCGAATGCAGTAGCAATGGATTTGGAGATGGATTATTATATATCGAATCAATAGCTCAAGCGAAATCATTACCAGCACCCACAGTAATCGTCTCTGCAATTCCAGATTTCACACCGGTATCCGAGGATGAACATAGAGCGCGAGGAATCATTACGGAATTTTTAGATAAAGAGGGTGAAAAGGGTGCGATTTTGGAAATGTGTTACCATCCAAGTCCGGATACACAAATTGCGGCATTGGCTGTGGAAGCTGGATGGCAGGTAGTGGGTGGTGTAGAGGCGATGATTAATCAAGGGCTGGAGCAGGATAAAGTGTGGTTGGGAGTTGAGCTTGAGGATTTACCGGTGAAGGAGGTGAGAAGTGTTGTTTTGGAAAAATTAGCGAGTGATAGGGCGAAGCATGCGAGGATATAATTCAAGGTTAAGTGTACGTGAGAAACTAGAGAGTGAGGAATATTATAATCAAATATGGCAATATCAGGTAGGTAAGAAGACGATGTGAATCTAGGGTTTAAATAGAACTGGTTTTAGGGGCTGTAACCAATATAGAATCAGCAGAATCAAAGATAGAGGATAGAGCACTCAACATTTGATTGCAACAATGAGGATTCGATTCTCCGCCGACCATCAATTGTGACCATAATATTTATGAAGCGAAAATCCCTTGTGGTACAGGATTTATCTGTAAATCTTCATCACTGATCGATGAATAATCCGCGCGCATAAATGAATAGCCCCCACCACACAACCCCGCCACGCTTCGACACGCCTATCATCGGCCAGTCCGTCTTGATACAGCTCCACTATACATACTATCAACTCTTACTCATCAATCCTTCCGTCTACTCAGCTACAGCCTCTTCACCACAAGCCATATCATTTCACAAGTTTCCTCCGGAGCATCTCAAAGACCGATTGATACCCAACGATATTTTAGTTGGACCGACCAAACATCATATCATGGCTGCCACGGTAACCTTACCCGATGAAGAACTTAAGGAAATCTACGCATTTGCGTTGGATTTGGGGAGGAAAGCGGGAAAGATATTGATGGAGGGGGTGGAGAAGAGATGTGAGGGGGATAATGGGGGAAAGGAAGAGGAAAAGATGAATGCAGTGGATATTGTTACGCAGACTGATTTGGGTATGTTTTGGATTTTGTGCTGGATATAAGTGCATGGATAGATATTTTCGATGGACGTCGAGCGTTGGATTGATTGAGAAGGGCATATAGCTAATCACGTGTATTGGGTAGATGTCGAGGCATTTGTTAAGCATGAGATATTAAGTAAATATCCATCACATAAGTATACAACCATTCCACTCATTTCCTCTCCTCTCCTCTCCTATTCCTAGAACAAAAATCCCCAGCTAACAAACCCCCAGATTCATCGGAGAAGAAACCTATTCCTCCGGCTCCTCCAAACAATATCTCGTTGATTCTTCACCTACCTGGATTGTAGACCCTCTCGACGGAACAGTAAATTACACGCATTTATTCCCTATGTTCTGCATCTCCATTGCCTTCTGTCTCAATGGGATTCCTATTATCGGAGTCATCTATGCCCCCGTTCTTGATGTATCTTATTCTGCTCTTGTGGGTCACGGCGCATGGGAAAATGATCACTTAGGAGTTGGCAATGGTGTTGCTTCTGGAGGAGGTAGCTCTGCTTCTGGGATTCTGAAGAGAAAAAGACAGTTACCGTATGTGAAGGGCAAACCATTGGGTAAAGAGGCGCCGAAGGGGTGTACATTTAGTTGTGAGTGGGGGAAGGATAGGAGGGATATTGAGGGGGGAAATTTGAGGAAGAAGATTGATAGTTTTGTTAATTTAGCGAGTGAAATTGGTGGGAGGGGTGGTAAAGGGGGAATGGTTCATGGGGTTCGGAGTTTGGGGAGGTGAGTGGTTATTCTTTTATGCCCTTTTTCCCTTGTGATGGAAGGAAAGAGGAAAGATATAATACTAACATCACCCTAAATATAGCGCGACAATGGATTTAGCCTACACAGCAACAGGAGCCTTTGACATTTGGTGGGAAGGAGGTTGTTGGGAATGGTACGTTCAGTTTATTCTCACTCATTCCTTTCCTTCCCTTCCCTTCCCTTGCCTTAAACACACACTAACCAAACCACGCAGGGACGTAGCAGCAGGAATCTGCATTCTCCGCGAAGCAGGCGGTTTAATAACCACTGCCAACCCACCCTCCAATCCGGAAACCGATCCTATCGAAGAAGTAAAATTGGGTAGTCGCTTATATTTAGCCATTAGGTATGATTATTTTTCCCATCCTCATTCTTCCTCCTCATCTTCATCTTTCCTCCCCCCATAAATCCACCCGCAAACATCATAAACCGCCAAAACAGTTCACATCTAAAGCACTATCCACCATCTACCCACCAAAACTAACAAACACCCCCACCCCACAGACCAGCAGGCGCCACAGCTACAGAAACAGGACGGCAGCAACAAGAGCGCGTCGTGCGCGAGGTATGGAAACGTGTTGAGGCGTTGGATTATACACGTCCTGGGGCTTAGATATATTAGTCCTAGGCTTTAGATGTTGATGGAGGAGTGGGGTTATATATTATGTGATTTATCGTCGTATGGGAATCTAGATGCGAAGGGTTGATTAACCTGAAGGGGGTGGAAAAGTTGAGGTGTGATTACACGATATAGCGTGATGCTGCAAATGAACGGATAGAGATGATAGATGTTACAGTTTATAGATGCATATGTAAGTCTTAGATATTTATATTCATTATTCGATATCGATTTCACTATAAATGTATTTCTTTGTGTGTGATATTCTATTTTGTACACATAAGTTCACGACTCCACTAAACTCTCAGAACCCAAGTTGAAACTGCAATTCAACTCCCAAAACATATGTCCGAGTGGCTCTCAGTCCTTCATCCATCAGATCTAAATAAAGTACTTTTGAGTTTCGTCTCGCAATATCAGTCACAAAGTAACTATAGATATATTAAGATTTTGTTTAATCTGCCAACGCTCCGTTAAGGACATATTTCTAGAGGAAAGTATGTCCCTGCGATCACTATAGATCGCATCGCTGGGTATTTTGTCATTGTTTAATGAAGTGCTGGGGGATATATGAAAGAAACAGGTGGAGGTCGGAAACACTCCGTGGTTCGATCTTATAGAAATTCATTGCTGACCATCCACAACTTCGAGTGAGAGAAAAAATAGGACGAATGAAAGAGAAATACTTAGGAAGAATGATATCAAAATATCTCACTGCACCTTATAAAGTCGAGAGAGACAATGGAGAACACCTAGTCCTATGAATTTGCGCCCTTGGTTAATTTTCTTCCCAAGCAAATACATTCCCATTCCATTGCTACCTAGCAATTCATTCATTTATAATCCCATCCGTCTTTCCCCCACCGTACGCCACGCTATGGGTATAAACCTTCAAAAATAGCAAATTGCAGATCGATTTTGATATTAATCGGATGATCTTAGACCAAAAATCTAATCGCTAGAATGTGTGAAAAGAGCAGAAATAGATTCTCCATAATGATTCCTTCTGATGGCCTCGGAGAGTAACTTTGATAAATCTAAGATTTGCAACTTCTTTGCATCTTTTGCTTTTTCTGGTGGAATAGGGAATGAGTTAGTGACAACTATCATGTCGATACAATCGCAATTTTGAAGTTCCTCTAGGGCATTTCCTCCAAAAAGGCCGTGTGTAGCAATACAATAGACCTTCTTGGCACCACCACGTTTGACCACGGTTTCGGCCGCAGCAATCCAGCTCCCAGCTTTATCAATCATATCATCTACGATGAAGACGGTACGGTTCCGAACGTCTCCAACCAACGTGATCATTTGTTCAAGGGCTGGGTCTTTGAAACCTTCCTCTTCTTCATCTGATGCATCACCGGCAGCATCAGCGGTTCCACCAAGTGCATGAGGCTCAGGCATGAAGATTGAAGATGCCATAGAAAGCGAGATTGGGTCATCTTCAGGGCGTTCTAGAATTAATGAAGATGACATGGCGGATTGTGTAGGTGAAGGATAATCGTCTGAAACAATGTGACCTTGAACTAGTCGGCCATGAGTGACCTCTCGAGCACGTTCGTCGGTATATTGTGCTTCTATCGCTTCATCGGCAGGTGCAGATCGTGGTGGTGGGGTAGTGTGTGCCCTGGTCAAAGGCGAAGGTGCCCCAACTGAATTTTTATGTCCAGTTCTGATGGCGGCCAAGTTAGGCAAGCACTGTGGAGAGGGATGACTGTCTTGTCGTGCTCTTGTCTGTCGTGGAGGCGAGTCACCATTTGATAACAGTGTAGAGGTAGATTCTGTTTCCCCTCCGTTTTGTTTGGGTTCCTTTACAGTCTCCTCTTCTACTGCTGGAGATGCGCCAATGTGTAGCTTATTGACGTCTGAATCCAAATCTCCGCAGGTAGACTCTTCAAGTCGGTTTATAATCATGCTCATTGACATGTTCGCAGGGGTTCGTCTCTTGTCGGTTGTAACCATTCCGAAATTGAGCTTCAGAGCGTCTGCTAGAGATGTTACTCTCTTCGTGCCACCAGCATTCTTCGAAACGCATACAGCCTCGTTCCACTCTGGCACATTGCGTCGGATCCAACGTGCTATTAATGGCTCTGCGTGAAGATTGTCGACTGGGCATTTGAAAAAGCCTTGCATTTGTGAAGCATGGAGGTCGACAGTTATAACATGATTGATTCCAGCAACATGTAGAAGATTTGCGAGCATACGAGCGGTGATAGCACCTCGGTGCGATTTCTTCTTTGACTGTCTACTATACGGGAAGTATGGCAGAACAGCTATACAGGTTAGCAGATGGGTCTTGTGTTAAACAGTAAAAAGAAACAAAATTCAGTCCACCAACCTGTGATTTTGTTTGCTGATCCTCCCTTACAAGCAGAGATCATAATTAGAAGCTCCATGATACTGTCATTGATCTTAGAACTACCCGATTGAACGACGAATACATCCTTCTCTCGAATGCTAGTCATGATCTTAACGCTTGTCTCTCCCTAAGTTGCATTAGCCAAAATAACTTCTTTGAGAGGTCGTAAGAAGTACATTTGCGAACTGAGTAAGTTCGACAGGAGCCGCAGCCATTCCCAGATTCGTGCATATTTGATCTGTGAGCTTCGGGCATGAACTGCCAGCGAAGATAAGTGTGTTGCGCATTTTTATGAATATTTTTGTTGAAGATAATTTTTGATGTCAGAGAAGGAAAAGAAAAAGTTTTGGCGAAAGGTCCGTGATAATATTATGTAGTTGTGGTGGGGTTGGTTGCGCTAACGAGTTGGGCTGAAATTGGGGGAGATCATGGTAAGATCTTGTCATTCATCATATAATTTCTTTCAGCAAGCTTCACTTCACTTCACTTCACCTCACTCATCACAAAACTCTCCGCGACAACAAACCAAGGCACGTTTTCATTCATTCATTCATTCAATTGATATGATTAAGAATGTCACTGGAGTACAAACATTCTAGTCATCTTTAAAGCAATGGGGATACCGCATCTTATTACATTCTTGCGACCTTATGCGACTCTGAGCTCATTGAACGACAAACATATTGTGATCGATGGCCCAGGGTTAGCATATCATATATATCATATATGTTTAAGTGCAAGGAAGTCCGCGGGGAATTATTTTGAAGCAAATCCATCCTACAAAGAGCTTGGAGAGACGGTATTAGCATGGCTGGATGGCTTAGAGAGAAGTGGTGCTGTTGTGTGAGTTCCACACGATCAAAAGTTCCCCTTCGTTGTGTTAACTATTAGTAGGAAGCAGATATACTTTGATGGATTCCTACCCCCAGCCAAACTAGATGTTCGTTACCAGAGGCTTAGTCGAAATACACAGCAATTGGAAAAATATCACAAAGATTATGCATCTGGTTTGAGATATCGACTTTCATCAACAAATTGGATTACACCTGCATCATTTCCTTTCGCATTTGCCCCCCAGCGTTCCAGCTTTATAAAGATTCCAGCATCATCCTTTCTCGTGCCTTCCATAATTGAGGCGTTACAAAACTCCAACAAGTATAAAGATATTGTCGAGATTGTGCCGGGAGAAGCAGATACATTTTGTGCCAGCTATGTCAGTCAACATGGTGGGATCATTCTCACTGGCGATTCTGATCTCTTGGTTCATGAAATTGGCATCGACAGTTCTGTAAGCTTCTTCCAAGATGTTGAGCTCTCATCCAAGGCCGATCCATGGATGTTACAGTCCCAAGTATTTCATGCTGGGTCCATCGTGAAGCGATTAGGCCTTCCACCTTCTCATGGTATTCGCGCTCTTGCTTTTGAGATTGTCATGGATTCCCATGGTACCTTTTCCAAACTTTTGAAACAAGCAACTACATTGAGCGCCATCAAGCAGCACAAAGGGATGTACGCAGATTTTGTCAAGGAATACTTGCCTGTTGACTTTGATTTAGCTATCTTTGATTCAACGCTGGTAAAACGTTCTTTGGTGAAGACTGCTCTTCAAGCCCTTGATCCTCGTGTTTGTGAGTATGTTCTTCAATTTCCTTATTTCATGAGATGTCTCGGTCTGTCGCAGTCGTCGAGTGCCTCTCAAGATCGCGCGAACAACATCAATATCTTTCTCCCATTTCTTATTGATTGTCCATCTCGAACCAATGCCTGGGAGATGTCTGCATCCATTCGTCAGTTGGCATATGGTTGCATGAATTTGATATTACCAGTTGGAGAGAGGAGGAAATCGATTTTCGAACACAAAAGACAAGCGAGTACGTCCCGCGGGAGGGAGTGGGAGATACCAGCTGCATCAGACATTTCAAGAGCTTGCACGGAAGTTTTGACATTTCTTCGTGGAAGCCAGACCAAACTTGAAGGGCAATGCATTGCCGATACTTGGACCTCTGTTGCATTTATACAAGACGCCGAGTGGTCAGAATCAATAGACAAGGTGAGCTTGGGCAAGAAGGTTTTGGCTGGACTCGGTGCCTCAAATTCCGATGACATTTCCCCCAAAAAGAGCGAGTTGAATTGGGATAAGATACATTTTATGGCTGAAATTCAAGGCTCCTATTACTCGTTTAGGATTTTGAAGCAGCTAACAACCTTTTCGATCTTGATTGGGGGTCGTGAATCAGTTTCTGGGCCACTGTTGGAACTAAATGATTTGCTTCAAGACCTCCCAAGCCTCAATACCCATAATGGATTCGAGAAACTGGACTACATGTTGACAACAATAAAGGAATCCATCCTTGAAGATTCGTATCAAGAAAAAGAATTATCGGCTAGCATTTCTGCAGAAAAATCTAAGCAAAGGAAGAAAAGAAAAAGAGACCAATTGACTTCATCCCGTACAGCAAACAAAAAGCCAACCAACCCCTTTGATGTACTGGGTTCCGATTGGTGATTTAACATTCCCAGTGTATATCTTGAAATAATTGCCCGGGCAATCGAAAATTTATATGCTCTCATCATTACATGGGTGCTAGCATTCACAAAAATTTGCTGGTGCTCATATGAAGCTTCAGTTCTTCATATCAAGCCAGAAGTGGCGTAGATCATATATTTATATACCTAGTGTGTATATATATGTGGCTTGAACAAAAATTCACCGCACGAGCATTGGCTCTTGTGGTGGCCTAATCATCTACGTATGAAGATACGATGCTAGTAGAGCACGCAGATCATATCGAGAGACTTTTCCCGCCTTCTTAAAATTGCTCTAGAGCTAATCATAATGGAGAACGGTCTGGCTTACAGTCTTGGGGGGATGAGTTATGACGGTGGTGAAAAAGGAAAGGGATAGAGTATTAAGCTTGAACCTGGGAAAGGCAGAGGATAATATCGTAAGACAACACGCGGTAAGCGTTAAGCTTAATGTGATCGTCAAGTTATCTCTTGCAAGCCGTCTGTATATCTACGTCGCATATTCTGAGTAGTGCAATATTCGAAGATACTCTCTCTTACTGCCAGTTGCATTTAACGTTTGCATTGCTACTGTATCTCTTCATCTTTTCAAGTATCTGGGAAAGTGTCAGGGATGCAATGGGGTATGGATACCTTTATAGTTTTATGTACCTAGCTAAGAGTGAATGGGTCAATATTGCGTTTTCCGAAAGTTTGTTATGAATGAAGTGTCTAGACTTGCACGGTTTTCGGTGTCTATAAAAATGAGTAAGTTTCCCTTACTGATGAAAACCATGATAACAAATCCATCTAGAAGCGACGCCTGTATGTAGTGAGGTGTATTATGGCCCTGTAGATTCTCTCAGCCTCATCTATAGAGTCGATTGTCAGGTAGTCGCTCTTATTTGAATTTAACTGGATGTCATTCGATCTTTCCTATTTTGCTCCAGTCTCTTTATGACAAGACAGGAAAGAGAAATATAACAACACAGTGAATTCCAAACCCATTTCGGTTCTGGTACTTTTCTTTCCATACCATAAATTCTTTACCAGCATTGTCTACTTGTTTATTTATTTCCAACCATCTTATCAGGATTCAAACTCGACTTGTTACAAAAAATGCGATCATGACAAAAACAGACACAATCATGAATGATAGAGATGGTACTCAACGCTTCAAAAGTGTTTTGGATGTCGAAAAGCCTTCGTGTACTGTCGTCTCTTTTAGAGAAGTCGTGGATGTTTCATCAGATGACGAATCTGCAGAAAATGATGACCTCAATTCTTTCCAGCCGGCTCCGTCATGCACTAATAATACGAAGGTTTGTATTATTTCGACCAGATTTTGTTCACCAGCAGAGATTTTTGTTAATGATAGTTATTACAGCAAGCTGTCGCTCCAGACTATATATCATTGGTCGAAGGAATTTTGAATGAGTATCATCAAGAGCATGGCCAAACGAGAGTTCAAAAAGGTAGAATCAGAAAACCAAAAGGTCCGAAGTCGATAAACAAGAATGAAAGTATTGCTCAAAGGGTTGTTGGACCTCGTCCACTTGTGTCTGCTGAAGAGAATGGACAAGGTCGATCTCTTGTTCCTGTTTCAAACTCTCAAGATCGAGCATCTCGATCAGTTTATCAACCTCATGTTCCAATTCCTCAATCTAGAGAAGTTCGATCAGGTCCAGGACAGATTCCTCAATATGACCTACGCCGAGTGAGAGAAGGTCCATACACTTACAAGAGTTTACATGCCAAGGGTAGGTATTCATCTGACTCCGATGAACATTCCAATGTACTAGCTAATTTGAGCTTTTCATGTAGTGGTTCGCCACAGTCAAGCTAATACATACCTGAGAGGACCTGATCTTCCCTGTCTACCGTTCGTACTTCAAATAACAATTCTTCGATCTCTACAAAGCGCATTGGAATCTATGTGCTATCGATTCGTCCAAAAATGGCTGCCCAGGATACTGGTGGCAAATGAATGGGACTGTCCTGAGAATATTGAGTTAAATTTATGGTGGAAAGCAATCGACGAATGTCAAATACCCATTGAAGCTATCGGTCCTCAACCAAGCCGTCCACTCGGTACTATTTTCCGTCGCGTGCCAAATATTCGCCATTTTGCAGTACATAGGCTTCCAGATATTTCAATTGCCAACATTCAGGATATGATCACAGACGCCCTTGATATCGCAAAAGTATTTCGCGACGATTTTTTGGTTCCAAAACTCAAGCTCTGGAGAGAGAAGCTCGAATACTTTTCTAAGTTAATTAGAGACTCGCGGAGTAATTTTTATGTGGCACGTAAAATTGATTCCATTCATGCTTTAAAGGAGGATAATATAAAGAGTCAGGAAAAACTACGCAAAGATATCGAGGCTCTCAAAAATGAAATTCTGGTAAAGGAACAACAGATCAGTTCTTTGCAAGGAGAATATAACACCCACCTTACGAAGGAGAACGAAATTATAAACAGAGCTCGCATTGGTGACAGACCCATTATTCAAGAAGCTGAGCCGCTTGGAAATTTCAAATGGCTTGAAGAATGCTTTACTTTGAATCTTGACAGAGATGCACCTAATCTCAAGCCGGCGGAAAATCTTTCTGGCGAGGTTATCCGAATACAAAACATTGGTCTCAGGCGCTTTGCCCCGGGCATGCCTAGCAATTCTGGTGTAGCCAATATGAATGTCAGCAGTAGGCTCAATCTTGGGGCTGTGACCGGTGGGAATAATCTCGCAATCAATCCTAATCCTCCTCGCAGGCCTGATATCAATAGCACTCCTCACGTGGGTTTATCAAGAACAGGTAGTAAACCCGCAATTATTCCCATACCTGGAGCCAATAATATGTTGTATTCTCATGTGCCAAATAACTTGGTTGGAATTCCTGGTCTTGGTCGAAGAGCTGTAAGCGGTCCCGTTCTTTCATCGCGAGGAAGACAGCCAATTCCTGCGACAGCGGTCATTATCGATCTCACCGATCAAGATGATGATGTTATGTCGGAATAGTGATTGTTTTTGGATATGTTTTGTTACTCTGTTTCAGAGGTGGAGGTGATGGAGATGTTCACGTGGTATAGATTATGTTACGTACGTAGCGAGGTTAAACATTGAATACAAACATGAAGATTGATATTTTAGTTTTTTATTACTATGACTATAAAAGTTTCCTTCTGGTGATAGTGATTAGCCATAATGTCATAACAAGATCTTGATATGTGGTTAGCGAGGGGGAGTTGATGTAACTGATAAACTACGAGCTCAGCGTTGGAAGACATTGGCTGCTAGACTATGCACTTTATTGAGCCCTAAGAATTCAACGTTATTTATGCTCATTAAGTATCTTTACAAAAGGCTGTTTAGATATTTCATCAAATTGTAATTCTTAAAATGAATCCAGAAATTCCTGTAACTAGTCTAATTTACACTTATGTGTAACGATACTGTACTGAAGGCAGCGGCTGCCTGAGGTTTCGTCTGGTTGGTAGTTGTGGGTTAAGGCTTTATCACTGGTATTCACTTGGAAGTGAAGTCGTTACTAGATCAAGTAGAATGTAGATAAACTAATTGATAACTAAGTTGAGCACGAAGCTCCTAAACTATGAAACTACTCTGACTATATAATGATCGATAAAGGGAGCCCCTAGGAGCTTTCTGGCTCCTCAGGGCTCCTTATCACGTGATTTCTGATGGTGCGTGCGCATACGATCTTCAGGTGACCAAGATCACATACTAATTCGATGAAATCTGATCGTGTTTGCACAAGGCCTAAGCTCTCCTAATTAATCAGTTTGCTACCATCGTAACACCATCAATCCTAATGGTGAATCGTGACAGGTACATTGTAATCTTCTTTATTAATACAAATAATCGCTATAATCCATTCCCAATTGTTTGATTATATAGCTTTGCTTCTTCTATATCGATCAACTTTAGTAATTACTATATATAATGATATTTGTCCTATTATAAAATCTGTTTTATCGAAGTTATAGAAATGTTACGAGGTTTGCCGTCTAGATCACGTGGAAGTGCTCTAGGCTCTCGAGGTGGTTTATAACTAGGCGTCAAGCAGGGACTTAAGTAATGACAATAATGAAATGCAATTCGTAACTAATAGTAGGATATACTAAATGATTGATCTTGAGCACGAAGCTCTATACAAAGGAAATCCATCTTGATTATATAGTCCTTCATGCTTCCATGATTACTAGTGATCCTTCATGATCATTAGTGATCACCTATACCGTGATCCTTAGTGATCCTTAATGATCACTATTGATCATTTGTGATCACGTGTCTTGGTAGTTGTGTAGCCCGTCGTAACACCGTGGAAAAGCAAACCGATTCACATACAAAATTGTATGGTAATCGGTTCGTCGGGTCTCCCCACCTTCAGCAAGCACAGACATATAGTCTGATCCAAGTCACGTGATGGACCCTGCATATTCAGGGATACGAATCGTAGGTCCATACGAATCGAAGGTCCACAAACTCTCAGGATCCAAGAGATCCAATGGAGGACGAAGGTCTATATAATCAGGATGGTTTCCTTTGTGTAGAGCTTCGTGCTCAAGATCAATCATTTAGTATACTCTACTATTAGTTACGAATTGCATTATTGTCATTACTTTAAGTCCCTGCTTGACGCCTAGTTATAAACCACCTCGAGAGCCTAGAGCACTTCCACGTGATCTAGACGGCAAACCTCGTAACATTAAATTATTCATTCTGTAAATAAGTATTATATACAATATATTATATAGCTTTGTAATCTTTTCGAATGTTTAATTTTTTATCTTTTCGAATAGCTTCGATAACTAAGAGTATTTGAGCTTCTTTATTATTCGATTGCATTATAGATTGTTGATAAATCGCATATTGAAGTGGAAAGATAATAATTGAGGTAAAAGTGGTGCACATGCTGATATGATGCACATGCTGATATGATGCACATACTGATAAACCACGTTAGGACAATATTGGGTTATGTGACAATAAGCTTAGTCACCTGAGTAGCTGTTAGGATTGGTCGTAACACAGCCTTAGATATATCTGACTTGAAACTTTTCAATCAACTCATTCAGCTCAACTCATTCAGCTCAACTCATTCAACTCAACCTCAACTGGTTTAATTCAATTCAATTCAATTTATAATAATAATAATAATAATAATAATAATAATAATAATAATAATAATAATAATAATAATAATAATAATAATAATAATAATAATAATAATAATAATAATAATAATAATAATAATAAAGTAGAAAGTATTAAATCGTGATTATACAGATGGTAATTTATAATTTATAAGTATATATTTAGATATTAAGTAATTAACGAGGAAATATTGAAAGAAAGCTTTGTATACTAGATTGATATTGTATAGATAGTTTTAGTTAGGGTTGGGGTTTTGGGGGATAAGTTATAAGTTATAAATTATAAGGAGTCTTTGGATGATGTTGATGGATTGTGAGAGAGGGAAGTGTTTGCTATTTTATTGAGGGTTGGAATATATGAATGAGGTAGAGGTACTAAGTAGGTTGTGAGGTTGCTTGTTTATGCCTTTAAAAGCTCTTCGATCGATATAATTCTTCTTGAACATAACCTCGGATTTGTTCGAGGAAAGGAAGACACACACCAGAAGAATCGAGAACTCTGTTTGCATTTGCATTACGTACTTAGACATCATTACATACATCACAATCCAGATTTTCCGATCGCGATTTTCCTTACCGAGCGAGAGTAGATGCAAGAAATTTGATTAAATCGAAACCAATAAGGTTATCCAACTATGTACGTACATGGTTAAGATCTTAAAACCCCCCTCCCGCTTACAAATTATATACTAATTCTTACACAACACAAGTTGAACACAACTCTCAACACTCTAACCTTATGAACACGCCATCCCGTGAAGGTTAGGTTACGTTTAGAATGCATGCATACTGCAAGACGATTATTAAATGCTTAGGTTAACCTTAGTCCATCATATATAAACACACAAGCTTTCTTAGCAAAGAATTTCTAATTTCGTGCCAAGGCGCCAGAGCATTACCGCTTGGTATCCTCCGTACTCGAGGAATGGGATATACTAGTACTACAGAATTAGATGGAGATGACATTAAATTGTTCATTGCTGACAAGCTCGTCTAATGTGTTACTCATCAATATTGTGGAGTCGTAAGTCTCAGTATTAACCAATAGTACACCAGTACGTTGAAGAAAAATATTCGCAATGTGCAGGTGCAACCGAGATGGAAAAGATGTAGTAATTACCTAGGTATTCAATCATCGAAAACGGCTTTTTTCGATGAGATTTTTACTCCACATTTTGATTAGAGATGGTTGTTGCTTGATTGTTTGTTGCTGAGTAAAGAGGCTGCATAGATGAGGTTCCCCACATTATGTGTCCCATGTTCCGGGTGCTTGGAGAGGAAATATCTCGTTTGAGGTGTCATAGGGTGGGATAACTTTGGGGTTATTGTGTGAAGCTAGGTTTTTCGTGGTCGTTGGATTTTTGGTGCCACTGGTTACCTAGTGCCAATGATTTAGTGCCAATGTTACAATGCGTTTGCCGTTGGTTCTCGAACTGTTTGTTGGGTAAGGATATCGTGGAGAGAGTTTATGAATTTGTGATGGAGATTGAATAACCCGGTATCCTGATTACTTCATTGTGAGTGATGAGGTAGGTGGATCTGTATCGGTGAGGTGTTGAGGGAAGATTGTCATGTCGAGGAATCTTGGTAACCAAAAAGATGTATATAAAGAGCAAGAGAATTCCCTACATTTCCTATTTCATCAGCATCATCACCACCACCATCACTCATCATTACCTTCTCAGTCCAATACTTTAGTCCAATCTCTATCAACAATCACCATGAAGTTCTCAAGCGCTATGATCTTGGCCTCCGCCATCGCCGTTGAAGGTATATCAACTTCTATTCCAAAAATCCAGATAGATGCTAATCCAACAACAGGATTCACCTTCGATCGTCTCAACAAGAGCGACGCCGCTCTTCTTGTAATTGATCACCAAATTGGACTCTCTCAACTTGTGAGAGATTATGATCCAACCGTCTTCAGACAATCACTCCTTGGACATGCAGCTCTTGGAAATCTCTTCGATCTTCCAACCATCTTGACCACTTCTGCTGAACAAGGTCCAAACAGCCATCTTCCTGAGGAAATAATTTCCGTGAGTATTGGGTCTTGAGGAATGAAGAATAATGCTTACGAAAATAGATGCATCCAACTGCTCCTTACATCAAACGTCAAGGAGAAGTCAACGCATGGGATAATGCTGATTTCCGTGCCGCTGTTGAAGCGACCGGCAAGAAACAGTTGATCATTGGTGGTATTGTCACTGAAGTTTGTGAGTTTAGGCCTCCCTTTGAAAATACATTCCGAATCTTGGTACTAATGCAAATCAATAGGTACTGCTTTCCTTGCACTCTCACTTGTTGAGGCAGGCTATGATGTTTGGGCCAATACCGAAGCAAGTGGTACTTTCAGTGATAAATTAGCTTCGGATGCCAACCGACGCATGGAGCAAGCTGGTGTTCATCTCATGGGATTGTTTGGAATAACTATGGATTTGATGAGAGACTGGTAAGTCACCTGTTCTCAGATGTAGAAATGACTGCTGACTATGGAACAGGAGAAACACCCCTGGTGCTGCAGAAGTTCTTCCATACCTTGACAAGTAAGTTCTCAGATGATCAGCTCGAAGAACATGATACTAATAGATGTATAGATACTTGGTCCCATATTCCTTGGTTGCCCGTGCTCATGGTTATGCTATCGGAAATGGTACCATTATTCCAGGAGAAGCCCAAATCCTTCTCTAATCATGAAATCCGGATTTCAGAGTTGGGTCATCTAGCTGTTTAAGGAAATTCACTCCGTTGGTTTATTTTCCCTTGTTCGCACAAAGGAAAATGCCCTCAGGCACATGAACTGTATCAGCTCTGCCATAGACTTTTAGATCTCTCGTTTTACCTAGTCATTAATTCAAGCTTACTTTCGACTCATGTCATTTCTTAAAGTTCCGGCTTAGGGATAAACTTCTTCTGTGCAATCCCTTTTTGATTACGATCCCATGCCCATCGTTTAACGAGGTCAGCATCCAATTTACCGTCTAGCATCTTCACAACATATTCCCCGATAATTGGTAGAAACTTCCAACCATGAAAAGAACCTCCCGTAGCAATGTACAAATTCTCACAGCGTGGATGTGCAGAGATGATGAAATCTTGGTTGGGGGTAATTCCATCCCTAAAGACAACATTAGGCTTGGAGATAGTGAAGATTGTTTTGGACCTACCAGCACATGCGGAAAGAATCGAATTTAAAATCTTCAGCAATTTTGCCAAAGATACCTTTCATTACTCGGTCGCATTCCTCCTGCAAACTCTTGAGAAAATTATTCTGCGCTTGATCAGATTCATTAGGTGGAGCAGAAATCATATATCCGGAGCTCTCATGAAGTCTTGTATTCTTCAGGGTGACATCCACGTAGAATTTGAGTATACTATCGGCGGTAAGAGGAAGTACAGCGCCTTTACGAAATTCAATACCGTCAATTAACATCTATTTAATTAACTTACCTAACAATTCTCCAACTGCATGATCAAACACCGGAATATGTTTGATACTTTCATACTCAGCCTTGCTCAACTTGGCGTGGCCAGATACAACTGCAGCTGCGGTAATTCGATCCCCAGCTAGAATGTGGTGCATTTGTGGTGCGGAATCTGCAAGCAACTTTGCTGTACCCGCACCAGTTGATAATATGATCTTATCGGCGCGGAAAGTCCTGCCATCCTTCGTCAATACGCCAAGGCAATCACCATTCAATGTCAAGACAAGGTTTTCCACATCTCCCTCGACAAAGTCCACGCCATTTGCTTCTGCCATATCGGCCACCTTCTGAACAGCTTTCGTGGCTTCCGCCCATCCACTTCCTTCATTGATAAAGACTTCCTTTACACCTCTCCAATCCGTTCCCTTAAATAATCCCCCATACATAGTTTTCATCTCATCCAGCCCAACAATTCTTGCCTGATGATTGGGAACCCCCAATTTCTCATAGGTGTCTATGATTCTTCGTCCAAGACCGGTATCATCCACAATAACAAACCCGGATTCATGATAATATGACTTTTACAAAGGATTATTTTTCCACAATTCGCGGGCTTTGAGCGCTGACTCGCAATAGAATATATCTTCATAATCGACACGAATGATTTTGTTGCAATCATGAGAAGCAGCAAGAGAACATGGAAAGGATGATGAGCCATCCAAAACGGTTATGTTTGAATTGGGATGTGCAAGTGAGAGATGATAAGCGGTTGATGTACCGAAAACTCCTGAACCCACTATGAGATAAGAAGTATCGATTGAGGTCCGGGACGTCATTGTCGTGGTGTGATACACGGAGTATATAATTTATGGAGAACAAACTCATCAACGGTAGAGTTGAGCGGTGATGTTCACCACTATTGATAATACCATACTACCAAATGATGGATATCGTATGACACTCATAAAAGATTCACGATGTTGATTTTTGTATTGAATTTGGATGACAGGATTAAGGGGTTTTGCTTCCCCTTAGGAAACGGATAAGATAACGTGGTTTATCAGGGCCCTGTACACTTTTACCTAAATTATTACCTTTCAACTTCAACACGCGATTTATCAATATTTAATTATGCAAACTACTTCAAAAGAAACTCGAATCAATTTAGCTATTGAGGCTATTCGTATATCTCAAAATTTGAGTATTCGGAAAGCTGCAAAACTTTATAATATACCTGTGACGGAAAAGTCGTAAACGGAGTCAATTCAATCACTTAGAATCTAAAACTAAAGAACTAAGAAGATTCTAAGTAAGAAGGTCTTTATATACAGGGCTAGTGCACGTGAGCCACTAGTGGGTAACAACCGTCACGTAACAATACCTCATACTACCTTTACCTTCAGAATAAATGGAATTCTGTCTCTTATTGAACATTGATCAGCAAATCATAAAATGATAGAATTGAAGAAGGAATCGCTTCTTATATATATTAAATATGGATAAAAAAGGGTTTAGTCCTCAAATAAATAATATAAAAAATATAGCGAATTATATATTCGAAATGCAGAGTACGAAGAAAGTTGGAAAACTCTAAATTTATCGTTTGTAAAATGATATATAGAAATTAAAGTGTTACGACGGGCTACACAACTATCAAGATACGTGATCACAAATGATCAGTAGTGATCATTAAGGATCACTAAGGATCACGATATAGGTGATCACTGGTGATCATAGAAGCATGAAGGACTATATAATCAAGATGGATTTCCTTTGTATAGAGCTTCGTGCTCAAGATCAATCATTTAGTATACTCTACTATTAGTTACGAATTGCATATCATTATTGTCATTACTTAAGTCCCTGCTTGACGCCTAGTTATAAACCACCTCGAGAGCCTGGAGCACTTCCACGTGATCTAGACGGCAAACCTCGTAACAATATCATCATTGTCATTACCTTAAGTCCCTGCTTGACGCCTAGTTATAAACCACCTCGAGAGCCTAGAGCACTTCCACGTGATCTAGACGGCAAACCTCGTAACACTTACTACATAACTTTATATTCAGGATTAATGATTTAATATAATTTATTATTAATTATTTGTTACAATCATTGATTATTATTACTTAAATCTTTATTTGATATTTAATTATAAATTATTTTAAGAGTCTAGAATACTTTTACATAATCTAGATGGTAATCCTTGTAATACTAGCTTGTAGATAAAGTGAAGTAAAGTGACTGCGTAATAAACATGTTACTAAAGTTTCAGCCTGCTATTTCTACGAAGCTGCTAATCAGTTGAAGCTTCCCACCAAGTTCCGGGGTCATGGCTTGATGTGATCGCATCTTACGCCCAACAAACATCGAGAAACTAGTAGTCAGAAAAATATCACAAACAGCGAGATTGCGAGAATCAAATTTCTGAAATTGCACAACCTAACCATACCTTGCCCTTCTTCAAGCCAACTAAGAAGTCTGAACTTGTGCACAGTGCGGCATAGACAGTACGGTGACTCCGTGGTCTTCAGTGGTAGTATGGCCTGACGATATCCGCGAGCACGCTACATACCTTCGCCCTGACTTCAGAAGAGCATTTTCTTGTATCAAATACGAAGAGGGACAGTAATGATTGGAAGTCACTTGATAAATGTGTTGACCATAAGTAGAAAAGGGATGGATTTGTCCGAGGAGAAGGTTCTCCAGTTGCATCTGACAGCCAGTCAGTGTTTAATTAATTAGAGAAGACAAGACCCTGATCGCAGCGATGAGCGTCCTCATCGCCACATTCCAGGATACCCGGGAATGAGCGCAGTCCCTCGCAATTGCTCAGCACTAATTGTTATGGATTCATTGTCATATTCGCTGAGCAATTCAAAGAAATTGTTATTTTTAGCCGTTAATGCTTTTCTTAGGCAATCCCTCGTCATTTAAACGCGCACATCTCTCATCATCAAATTATGCCTTTAAGAAATTTAGTTCTAAGGCCCAAAAAAAACTACCCTTTCACATGATGAATAATACAACAATAGATTCGGTTTTCGTCATTCTCAACATCTAATCTTCTCAACTACTTTACTTCAATTCTAATCACCCGCCTTACAGTTGGCTCAGCGCAGTGAGAGCAGGAAGGAGCCATATCGGAACTAAAGGCATATACAAGCCTTTCATGAAGTACCCCAATCCAAAGGCAAAAGAAGAAGCTCCATACCATCCCAGAATTGCCTTGTCGTAAGTACTAGTCAAGCCATATTTGGCCCATTTGAGCTGGAGAATTCCTGTTTCAAGCTTCAGATACGAGCCCCTATTCAATCGTAAAGTCCCAAACAGGATTTTGAGCAGCTTTTTAAAGCAGACTCTGACGCGCAAGGAAATGGAATTGGAGGAATTTACCGATAATGGCCCAAGCAGCACCGACCTGCAAGAAGTTACTTTTTGCAGAAAAAGCTGCTGGAAGCTCATGACCTAACCCACGATCGAGTTTGGGGAAGAGTTCGCTGAAGCCCAGTGATGTATGCTTGTAGACTGAGAACGCACTGAGGCCTGCGCAGGTGTACAGAATGCGTTTGGAAGTTTCGTGTGACAGCATCTTATTTTCGATTGTTTTAAAGTGACTTTGGAGAAGAATTTGGATGCAAGAGTGAAGTGGCGTGGACGATTTATAGGGGAAGTGGGTGGAGTTTTGGAGGCAGGGACAAAAGAGGATATGAGTTCGAGCTTGGGACGGGGCGAGGATATTTATAAGAAATCCGATTGCTGCTTTGGTCTTTGGATGAATAAGTCCAGCCCAGATGTTCTAACCAAGTACGCTGATCATTCTTACATACCCACCCCCCATAAATAACGCCTATACGATGGGGCCGTCAAGTATTTACCTTGGTAAAATCTCTGTATTTCACTGATTGACTAGTCTAGTGGATTAGGCTCTATTTAGTGGGGGGGCGGGTCCCACTTGAAAACCCCTTCCTGCCGCTTAAGTACTTCGAGAAAGTCGACACAAAATACAAAATCATATTCTAATCTTGGGACTCGCCAGTCCCCGGACTAATCCTAAGCAAATCCTACCCAAGTTATTATTGAATTAATGTTATCTAGAAAATCTTCAAAATCGAAGTTTGTATTGAAGAGGCGAAAATCGCCGCACCCTCTATAAAGCACAGACGAAGGGCCCGTAGAATTTCTATCTCGGTTTCTAGGATGCTCCGCCCCCTGTTTATTCCCTCAGTTAACCAATCAGAAACCTCAGCTCACTCCACCACTGGAGTTTTTTGCAACTTGAATGCCAGATAGCTGTATCTATTTCGGCATCAAGATCAGAATCAATCCCGAGCACCTTCTACACTAAAGTTTAATAAACGCCACTTAGTCCGATGTGATAAATATGGAGATTACTAATAAAAGTATTATAAGATACACTAAAAAGCGGTTATGCTTTACCCTATATATTAGGGTTTTAGTTAATAATAATCTTTTGCTCTCTGAAAATTCATATAATAAAATTTAGATATACAGTACTAGACAAAAAAATAAGGGCTGTTTTATGTATTTGCACCGAAAAAGACCAATTTTCACTTTTTTCATTTTTAATTAATTTTATAATTATATGTAAACAATTGATATAAAACTATATTTTTATATTAAGATTTATTAAAATATTTATAAATTATATATAGTATTAAAAGGAATGACCTGTCACGATTCACCATTAGGATTGATGGTGTTACGATGGTAGCAAACTGATTAATTAGGAGAGCTTAGGCCGTGTGCAAACACGATCAGATTTCATCGAATTAGTATGTGATCTTGGTCACCTGAAGATCGTATGCGCACGCACCATCAGAAATCGCGTGATAAGGAGTCTTGAGGAGCCAGAAAGCTCCTAGGGGCCCCCTTTATTGTTCAGTATATAGTCAGAGTAGTTTCATAGTTTAGGAGCTTCGTGCTCAACTTAGTTATCAATTAGTTTACCTACATTCTACTTGATCTAGTAACGACTTCACTTCCAAGTGAAGACTAGTGATAAAGCCTTAACCCACAACTACCAACCAGACGAAACCTCAGGCAGCCGCTGCCTCCGGTACAGTATCGTTACATGACCTTACACAGGGAATAGTGGGAAGCTGATAGGGCAGAACTGAGGCTATATTGGTCTTGTATCTGAATCACCCATTATCTAAGTTCTACGGAAGTGCGAAGCTCTCCTACAGAGAGCTTCTCAATCTAGTCCTAATAGGACTAGTGCCCTGTGCACGTGCTACGCAGGAACCATTCACTTTAACATGATATATTAATCTTAAATTATATTTTTATAAAAAATAATTTTAGATATAAATAATATTAATTAAAGTAAAAAAGAAATTAAAAATGAAGAAATTAATAAAGAAAAATTCTTTAATATTTATACTGTTAAAAGGAATAGAAGTTACCGGTACTAATCACGTGTCGTGATTAGTAATACGGTTACCTAAACAGGCTAGATTAGACGAACCATAAGCAGGCATATTGGTCCCCTCCGAGGATACCAAGATGAGATCTTAATATGCCTACACACGTAGTAATATAGCCAATATAGAGGCCTCTTCCACCCAATCTTTTAATATATACTTTTATTTTAATAAATTTGAAGATATAAATTATTGTTTTATTAAATATCAAGAATAATAATTCTAATAACTTTTTTATAAAATACTTTAAAATTCTGAATCATAGTATCTTTATAAAAACAATATTAAAATAAAATAAAAAAGCTAATAAAAACTTTTTGTTTAAGCTTTATAAGGATCTATAGAGTCCTGGTGGGTCTTACAATACTTACCCTTCCAGTCTACGTAAACTCTCTGCGGACGTTTCTTCGCTGTTTACTTGCGGTTAAATTCAAGGTTAATTATCCGCTTTAAGAGAGGGGATGCCGAAAATGTTTATGATCACTAATCATGCCACCAACTCCTTCGGCGTTTTTTGTATCGCTGACAGATTTTTTTCCATTCCTTGAATTTCCAGTATTGAAACTCACCCAGTCAGATGTAGGATTGGGCGCTTTCCGTAAAGCAGAGCTAGATTACAATAAAGTATAATGTAAAGCCTTTTACTAGGTTATACTTTAGCTTTATACACGTGATCAAATCTGCTAATCAGAAGCCTTCAAAGTTTACCCCTGTTCGCGAAAGCGACGCGAGGTTAATCGATCTCAAAATAGCTCCAATTTACCCCACTATATTAGCTTTATATAATGCGAGCTAGATTACATACAAAAGCCAAAATTTTGTTTTACATTATGAATTATAGAACTCCAAATGCCCAACCCTAGTCAGATGTGATGAGTTCCTGGGCTTGCTAAATGTCCTAGGAAAGCTTAAACATTAAGGAAATCGGAACAATTACAAGACCGAAGGTGCTAAGGAGTATGGCAGTGTGGAATGAAGGTTCAGGAAAAGCTCATACGAAGGCTTCGTTGCAAGGTTCAGTCTCGTGAATAACTAAATGATTAATCTATACGGGAGTCAATTGCCAGAACTCGTAAGCTGTCTGAATTTAGTATTGTAATTTTGAAATCCTTACCAAGCCACTGTTGACAGCAGACAAAAGCGTATATAAGGTCTTCTACTATGCCTTTTGATTTGCATTTTCATCAAGCATTCAGCTCTCTTTGATATTTCGCGCCAACCTACGCCAATCCAACTCGTTACTCTCGCTAAAATGATTTTCTCATGGCTTCGCAGCTCAGCAATCCCATTGCTTTTGTCAACTGTTATCGCCCTCGACCTTCCCATTTATCCTGGGCTCCGAACAAACCAATCGCGGCCAGGCGTCCTTGAAATTGCCTTTAACAACACAAAATCTGAAGTGAACGTTTGGAGTCAGGACGCTCTGTCTGGACTTTCTGATGTAGTTCAAAAACTACAAAATGACACTGAGATCAAAGTCGTCTTATTTACGAGCGATGTCCCACTATATTTCTTGAATCATCTGGACCTCCTCATCCAACCTTTCGGTAAGTACATTTTCACAAAATATCTTGTGGCTGTTTAGTCCAAGCCCCACTTTCCTACGAACATTTCGCTGACTATTGTTGTTGCCCAAAAGTGACGCCACTCTTGAGGAGTGGTTAATTGGGTTCATATAATCATTCTTCAGGTCAACACTCCCCCTCAGGGATTGCCGAATCAGGATATGCCATTATTTTTGAGGCTATTCCTGGATATGATTGGCTGATCCGATCTGAGTTGATTGGCCGGATAACATAGTCCTCTGCCTTTTACTGTCTAACATTTTTTCTAGACTCTGGGGCATGTATGCAAGAGTAGGGTTCTGAGAGCATCTGATTGGCTCTACCCCTCTTCAGAGGCTTGTTCCGTCGAGGTGCATGGGGATCGCTCGCTTGGAGTTTAGGAGTAACTCTCATTGGATGCGATATAATCGATAATGTAACTTTTTACTGAAGAATATGATGATTGCAAGTTGCGCTGGTAGTGGAAATTATAAATGATACCACTGGACCATGGGACCGCAAACCGGGCTCATAACTGTTGCCCAAAAGTGACGCCACTCTTGAGGAGTGGTTAATTGGGTTCATATAATCATTCTTCAGGTCAACAATTGTAGACCCTACTATCGCAAGTCGAACTATTGAGCTACTTTTCAATATGACGAACCTCCAACAAATTACCATCGGTGCGATTGAAGGTGTAGCACGTGGCGCAGGCAACGAGTTCCTCGTCTCCCTCGATATGCGCTTTGCGACTAAAACCCATACACTTCTGGGACAACCAGAAATTGGATTAGGTCTTATCCCTGGTGGCGGAGGAAGCCAGTACCTGCCCCGCCTGATCGGACGTGGTCGTGCAATGGAGTATATCCTGAGTGGCAAAGATGTTGGTGCCGTAGAAGCAGAGCGCATAGGCTGGATCAACAAGGCTTTTGATACTACAGCAGAGATGAATGGCCATATTGATGATCTCATCTCGCGTATGGTCTTATTCCCAATTCAAGCTCTTGGCCTCGCCAAGCAGTCAGTCAATGTCGCCACAAGACCCCAGCTCAGCGATGTCTTGGGGGATTCGGACAGGTTCTTGCAAACAGCGTCTAATCCTGTCGCCCAGGCCCTTATTGGGAAAGCAATAGAGATAAGTGCGAATCAGTCAGATGGCAATATCGAACGATTCTTCGGAGAAGCTATACCTTTGTTGTATAACTAGTCTAGTTTTGCGTGAGGCATTACCACCCCTTGTACAATTAGTTTGGCGAGCAGCCAACACTTTTCTCTTCTTTGGTACTCTGTTTGCTTAGGTCGGGTCCTCGAGGCAATTTTCAACCCTTAAATAGAACATGCCACAATTATATAGCTACTTTATACTTATCATATAACAATTCAACACTACAAAAGCCTTTGCACATATCAACTAGTGTGGATCTTCTTCAATTCCCCTACACCCATTGAAGAGATAAAAAATAAATTGAACTTTTTATGCGCCCAGTTTAGAGAAGTGACTATTACGTGGTAGAATTTCCTTGCTTGCCTTGTGTTACAGATTATGAATACTCGATCCTGATAACTATCAAAGATTGGGGCAATAAGAATGCTACTAAATGGAATGGGAAAGTATTTGAGAGAAATGAACACGGTACTGCCAGGCAAGCACACTTGTACCTTCTATGACACTCTTAAGCAAAGGGAAGCCCGCATAGTGGCGGAGCTTCGGACAGGAATGGCACGACTTAATGGATGCTTCACCAGATTACAGTGGCAGAATAGGATCAATACGAATGCAGCCCAAGCAAAGGAAACAAACCATCAAGTATTTCCTCTTCTGATGCACGAGACGAACGCGCGTACCAAACGCGATGCAAGAAAAGACAGATGCAAGAAGAGGCAACCACTCCTTTTACCTGGGAGAAAATTTCCATCTGATTTGAAGAAATGGAGTCCAATTATCGACGCAGGCCGTACAAAGATCAAGTTTGCGATTGCTACGTACAAGGCGTTTGGACATAGAGGTAGAATGGGCAGCCAAAATCCCACAACAGTAAATCTCGTCTTAATCCTCACCCTGAGTAACCCCCAGTGTCCCTCGTGTCCTCAGCAGGTCTCGCTTCAGTCACCGACGATAGTAAATTGAATACTTGAAGGAACGATCTTCAATACACGAGACGGCGTTGGATAAGTCGATCAGGGACTAAAAATAGAAAATATTTGAAGAGGCATTTCTGTATGGACTTCGAAGTCCATAAAATCACCGAACAAATTGGATTATTTAATAAAGACGAAGGCCCTTTAGATTAAGAACCAGGTGAATAAACTTCATCATTATCATCGTCAAGGTCACCAGATAGACTTCCAGAAGATCCCTATTGGTTACAAATTCCCCGCTTTTATCAGAGATGCTGATAAATTGAAATTCTTTACTACTGTACCATAATCAATAACTGCCTAGCGATGGTGTCACGACTCACCATTAGGATTAGTGTCCTGGGATGAAAAGTAATCACGTGATAAGGAGCCCTGAGGAGCTAGAAAGCTCCTGGGGGCTCCCTTTATCGATCATTGTATAGTCAGAGTAGTTTCATAGTTTAGGAGCTTTGTGCTCAACTTAATTATCAATTAGTTTACCTACATTCTACTTGATCTAGTAACGACTTCACTTCCAAGTGAATACCAGTGATAAAGCCTTAACCCATAACTACCAACCAACGAACCTTAGGCAGCCGCTGCCTCCAGTACAGTATCGTTACAGACGGACAGTGAATTTTGACATAGGTGGAGCTTATTTTGGTACTTCTGTGACACACTATAATTATAACCAGAGTAATTTTATCAGATTACATATACACTAATATAATTTAGATCTAATTGTCGGCTTGCCGACACCAAAACCTTGCTGTACGCGAGGTTTATCTGGTATAGGTTAGAGAAAATGAGAAACTCGCTTAATGTTACGAGTTTGCCGTCTAGATCACGTTGAAGTGCTTTAGGCTCTCGAGGTAATTTATAACTAGGCGTCAAGCAGGGACTTAAGTAATAACAATAATGCAATTCGTAACTAATAGTAGAGTATACTAAATGATTGATCTTGAACACAAAGCTTTATACAAAGGAAATTCATTATGATTATATAAACCTTTATATTATATATTTTATTATCTTTTATTATTACCTATAATTGAATGATTCTAGATGGGACAATATTGGGTTATATAACAATGAGCTTAGTCACCTGAGTAGCTGTTAGGATTGGTTGTAACACAGCCTTATGTTACGAGGTTTGCCGTCTAGATCACGTGGAAGTGCTCTAGGCTCTCGAGGTGGTTTATAACTAGGCGTCAAGCAGGGACTTAAAGTAATGACAATAATGCAATTCGTAACTAATAGTAGAGTATACTAAATGATTGATCTTGAGCACGAAGCTCTACACAAAGGAAACCATCCTGATTATATAGACCTTCGTCCTCCATTGGATCTCTTGGGTCCTGAGAGTTTGTGGACCTTCGATTCGTATGGACCTACGATTCGTATCCCTGAATATGCAGGGTCCATCACGTGACTTGGATCAGACTATATGTCTGTGCTTGCTGAAGGTGGGGAGACTCTACGAACCGATTACCATACAAAATTGTATGCGAATCGGTTTGCTTTTCCACGGGGTCTAAGCTCATATGGACAGGTTGACTGTTACTACGTAACACCTTAGATATATCTGACTTGAAACTTTTCAATCAACTCATTCAGCTCAACTCATTCAGCTCAACTCATTCAACTCAACCTCAACTGGTTTAATTCAATTCAATTCAATTCAATTTATAATAATAATAATAATAATAATAATAATAATAATAATAATAATAATAATAATAATAATAATAATAATAATAATAATAATAATAATAATACATACATACAGTCATAATAATAATAATCATAATAATTTATATAGTTAATAATATATATTATTTTATATTAAAAACAAGCCGATTCTAATGATACTGTACTGGAGGCAGCGGCTGCCTAAGGTTTTGTCTGGTTGGTAGTTGTAGGTTAAGGCTTTATCACTGGTATTCACTTGGAAGTGAATTCGTTACTAGATCAAATAGAATGTAGGTAAACTAATTGATAACTAAGTTGATGTTACGTAGTAACAGTCAACCTGTCCATATGAGCTTAGACCCCGTGGAAAAGCAAACCGATTCGCATACAATTTTGTATGGTAATCGGTTCGTAGAGTCTCCCCACCTTCAGCAAGCACAGACATATAGTCTGATCCAAGTCACGTGATGGACCCTGCATATTCAGGGATACGAATCGTAGGTCCATACGAATCGAAGGTCCACAAACTCTCAGGACCCAAGAGATCCAATGGAGGACGAAGGTCTATATAATCAGGATGGTTTCCTTTGTGTAGAGCTTCGTGCTCAAGATCAATCATTTAGTATACTCTACTATTAGTTACGAATTGCATATCATTATTGTCATTACTTAAGTCCCTGCTTGACGCCTAGTTATAAACCACCTCGAGAGCCTAGAGCACTTCCACGTGATCTAGACGGCAAACCTCGTAACAGTTGAGCACGAAGCTCCTAAACTATGAAACTACTCTGACTATATAATGATCGATAAAGAGAGCCCCCAGGAGCTTTCTGACTCCTCAGGGCTCCTAGTGCTCTTTATCACGTGATTCCTTTTAGATCCCAGGACACTAATCCTAATGGGCGAATCGTGACATTATTATCCTAGGACACATTTTATCCTAGGACACTTGTCCTAGGATTCCTTATCGATAAGGAACCCGCGGGAAACAGCGGCCCAAACCCCGATACTCGGTTTTATTGTATAATATTAGTCGTGGTTCGTGACAATACAATACAACGAATATACAAGTGATGGTTCTTTAATAAAGAAATAAGCTATTATACAATAATATAACAAATACAATAATACTTCATATAATATACAAACTTATCAATTAGATCCAATATTAATTGATCTTTAAATTGTATATAATTTAATTCTAATTTATAGTATTGTGACGGAAATCCCTGCTTTCCTCCCACCCTTATTATATAAGAAACCTCAGGTACATTAACCATGTCCACACATGATACGATTACTCGGGATTAGTATACGATTTAGGTGGCCTGAGGATCAGATCCGGACAAGTACTAGATATCAATGGTTATCGGTAAAGTAAGATCATTGGAGGGATAAATATGACTTCTTTTTGCCTAGCCATTGCGGCTAGGCCATTCATTTGTGTATATATAGAGTAGCTATCCCCATCTACAGGTGCTCTTCACCTGTAGATTCTAAGTTAAATACAATTGCTGGTCTATAAACACCCTTTTGGTCACTGTTACGTGACGGTTGTTATCCCACTAGTGGCTCACGTGCACTAGCCCTGTATATAAAGACCTTCTTACTTAGAATCTTCTTAGTTCTTTAGTTTTAGATTCTAAGTAATTGAATTGACTCCGTTTACGACTTTTCCGTCACAGTCACAAGTATTGTTGTAATTTTATTTTAATGGAATGTGGGCAATTGAGGTAAAAGTGTACAGGGTCCTGATATGTACAGGGTCCTGATAAACCACGTTAGACTGATACTGATTAGGTAATTCATCTCTATGGCACCTCAATTTCCAGGCATTAATTTTCAAGAGCTTCGGCGGGGAAAATCCTTATCTTAGTGCCGGCAACCTCCGATAATATTTTTGAACTTTTGAATTTTATCAATTGGATTTTATCGTCGGAATTCCCATCACCCTAATTTCAAAAAGTCTCATCAATACAAAAATGCCCAAAGCAATGACTCCAAAAGAACTCGCAAGATCAGGCAGAAGGCACAATCCTCTTGAAGCTGATTTAGTAGCAAGTGGACCACTGAAAACAAAATCCGGAAAAAGAAAGTCTAGAAATGAGGATGAAGGAGAAAAGTTTGTGGATTCAAAATCATCGCGGAGGATTTTAAAGATAGGTCAAGAACTTGCCGATGAGGACGAAGCCGAAAACCAAGCAGCAAAGCCAAATGCAGCCTTCAATTTTGATTCAAGATTTGAGGATGAGGACGAGGAGGATGAGCCAGAATTCGGAGGTGAGGATGGAGATGAATGGGGAGATGATGATGATGAGGTCCCAGAATTAGTCGAGTTGGCACCAGAAGATCGCGATACGTTTGGCAAGTTCTTTCCGGAAAAGGTTGCTCCTCCGCAGTCATTAAATAACATTAGTTTTGGAGGGGCGGATCACGACAGTGAGGATGAGAATGAAGAAGGACAAGGCACAGATTTGACCGCATTGATTTTGGAGAGGATTGCTCAATTTGAGGCGAAACAATCTGGACAACCTGGAGCAGGTCCGGCTGGTCCTGAGGACGATGGATTTTTCGTTCATCCTAAGGTTTTAGAAGTTTACACAAAGTAAGAATCGCTTCTATCTCTCTCTTCTCTTCGTAAAGTACTAATAAGAAATAGAATTGGTTTGATATTATCGCGGTACAAATCAGGAAAATTACCGAAACCATTCAAGATTCTACCTACAGTGCCAAATTGGGAAAAAGGTCTCGAAATTACCAGACCAGACAAGTGGACACCAAAT